CGTTCTCCCTCTCTCTCCCTGTTTCAGCGCTCTGGCTCCTTCTTTCTGTTTCTTTCTCTGCACTTCTTCACTCCCTGCTCCGGCCAGGTAAATCTGTTTCATATGACTCTGTGAGAGGGGCCCTCTGCTGAACTTGAAGGAGAGAACACCATGAACCAGAGAAGAAGCTGCATCTTCTTTTAGCTGCTCAGCGACGATCAAAGCTGGAATTCAATCTATCACCATATCTGTGATCATGTCTTTATCTTTATCTAGTGTTTTAAAAATGTTCTCATTGAGTCAGTTCATGTTTGTAGGAGAAACCGTCTGTGTCCAGTTTATGCTGAACTCCATAACGGACTCAGTAAACCTTAATCCTTCATATAATCTGACCTGTATGCATTAAGCAGTTCAGGAGCGCCTCGTCATCCAAACAGAATAGCTTTCCTGCTTTCAGAGCTTTGATTTTACCCAACCACAAACTGGTAAATTGGAGATGATAGTTGGCTGTGGCCGAGTTACAAAAGGTGAAAGGTCAAGGAACGCCTCCCCGTGTGACAACATTCTTACAGGAGGCTCAGAAAAGTCGTGCCCACTCCTGGATCCTGAGAGTGTCTGTCTGAACAAAGATCAAAACAAAGATGATTTGGACGATTCGTTTGTTCAAAGGCTGAGACTCTCCTCTTATTCCACCTCAGAGCTCGTTTTCTCCCCCAGGCCCCGAACTGCAGTTTAAAGTTTTCTCTGTTTAAGGTCGTCTGACAGGGAAGTATGTTAAAGCAAACATATGACATGTCAAACATCAGCAGGATGGACATGACAGAGAGAGAGCTCTGTGGTAGCTCCAGTGTCAGGGTTTAAAGTCATCTCCACGCTGAAGCTAAAGGTGTCTGAGTCTGAGTCTGAGTCTGAGTCTGAGTCTGAGTCTGAGTCCGAATCTGAATCTGAGTCTGAGTCTGAGTCTGAATCTGAGTCTGAGTCTGAGTCTGAGTCTGAGTCTGAATCTGAGTCTGAGTCTGAGTCTGAATCTGAGTCTGAGTCTGAGTCTGAGTCTGAATCTGAGTCTGAGTCTGAGTCTGAGTCTGAGTCTGAATCTGAATCTGAGTCTGAGTCTGAGTCTGAGTCTGATCTGAGTCTGAGTCTGAGTCTGAATCTGAGTCTGAGTCTGAGTCTGAGTCTGAATCTGAATCTGAGTCTGAGTCTGAGTCTGAATCTGAATCTGAATCTGAGTCTGAGTCTGAGTCTGAGTCTGAATCTGAGTCTGAGTCTGATCTTAATCTGAGTCTGAGTCTGAATCTGAGTCTGAGTCTGAGTCTGAATCTGAGTCTGAGTCTGAGTCTGATTCTGAGTCTGAGTCTGAGTCTGAGTCTGAGTCTGAGACTGAATCTGAATCTGAGTCTGAGTCTGAGTCTGAGTCTGAATCTAAGTGAATCTGAATCTGAATCTGAATCTGAATCTGAATCTGAATCTGAGTCTGAACCTGAGTCTGAGTCTGAGTCTGAATCTGAGTCTGAATCTGAGTCTGAGTCTGAGTCTGAGTCTGAGTCTGAGTCTGAATCTGAGTCTGAGTCTGAATCTGAATCTGAGTCTGAGTCTGAGTCTGAATCTACTTTCTTTATCAGACTTGGTTCAGGACTTTGTTTCTGGCTCATATAAATTTTCCTCCATATCAATAAAAAGGTTAAAAAAATGAGATCTGACGCAGACAGATATCTGAGTATCTTCTGACATGTTGACGTCTTCATTCAGCCTGTTGCTCCTCCGGTCGTCACTGGTGTCCCACTAAACAGAGTCTCCTTTTAAAATAAGTCTCTGATGAATCCTGATTATTCACCAGGAAAGAGTTCATCTGAAATATAAAGATTAAAACATGAGAAAAGGGCTTTTCCTGCTGAATTTCCCACGTTAGCTCACTCCAACTTCTCTTTATCAGTCGGGGGAAATATTGTCTGTTTCCATGTCAGCCCACTTGGAAGATTTCAGGATGTTGTTGGAAGTTTTGTGCAGATGTGAACAGGACTATTCTCACTTGGTATCAGGACGTATCTTCGATTCACTGATTAACCAGTCCCAGTTATCGTGAAGCTAATTTCTGCTGCACAAGTATCACCCTCCTCCGACCAACGTCACTTCCTCTCTCTTTCTTTCTATCTCTTCTACTCAGAGGGAATTATACGGTGATTATAGAGGTGGAGAACACGAGGCATCTCAAAAACCCAAAGAGAATGATGAGTAGTCTTTACGTGGCCTGATATTATCATGTGCACGCCTCATTCAAAACAGACAAACTGATGAAAAAATCCCCGAGTCGTTCCAAAAGGTCATCTTTGGGTTCACAGAAGGTCATGAAAGCTGAGGGTCATGGGAAGCTGCAGCACTTGGCTCGCTTGGATAGGAACTTCAGTGACAAGTCCTCTTTGGAGAATGTTTGTAAAATGGCCGACCACTGATACCACAGCAAAGAGCAGCACTCTGCGAATACATCCTGGGCCAAGGACATGGCGAGCACATCATGACCAATGATCTGAACCAGGGAGGAGGCACTGAGGAGGGATTGGAAGAGGGTAGTCTGGGTTTGGAGCAGGAGCAGATATTTGGACATGTGAGTGTGTGAGGCGGAGCAGATTGCGCCTGAGTCTTCGTGGGTTGAATTGGTTTGATTACATTTGGAGATAGCAATCAGCTCCATTCCACTCACTGCTTTATTGTGTTTGATGTCAAAGGAGGATCCAGATGGAGCAACTTAACACGCACAGCCTGCTAATGTACACACAGACAAACACACAGCAGTGCAGCGGGTTAGGAGACCCGGCACAGTGAAGAACACAGACGGAAACTTCTCTCTGTAAAACCAACATCTATGTAACGAACGCTGCTGCAAAGGTGACGAGGTAAATAAACGAGCTGAAGCTCCATCATCCGTCTTCATATTCTCCGTCATCAGTCTTAATATATCGCCTCCTTCTGGTGGTTTCCTTTGTAAGTAAACACATTTGGAAATGGACTGACACTGTTTAGGGTCGGACAGAAATGTGTGTGCAGTTTGTAAGTGATTGTGGTGTGGAGATCCATCTCATAGACTCACACACACTCACACAGAAATGTTTGAGTCAATGTTGTGGAACTGGGCGGTGTTTAGTCCTGATAGTTTCTCTCTCTCTCTAATTGTAGGGAAATGGGTTTCAGATGTTACTGCCCAACTGATCACTTTGGGCCCCGCTCGGCCCCGTCATGTCCTCCCAAACCACATCAAGGAGCCCAGGGCAGATGTGAGACGATAGCAGCCGAGGGAGAGAGGCCCACTGCAGGGCTAAACGCTCCTCTGGGTGCCCTTGCAATAACAGGATCCACATTAGCAGTAGCCGTGTGATCTGTCTGCTAAGCTAAGCTGCCGACCATGTGATATGTGACGATACCAACTGATCTACCATGACAGAGGAGCTGGTTTTGGACTGGTCTGTCGAATATTTCAGCTGTGATTTAGAAGCATGTATGAGGTCAGGTTATCTAAGAAGATGTAAATTAAAGTTTTACAAACGTTAATAAGACTTTAGTCACACGGGGGATTTCCAACGTCACACTGAAGTCTTCATTTTACTGTCAGAGGGTTTCATCTCTTCTTCTCATGTTAGTAATAAACAGTCAATAAAAATCTTTCAAACTAAATTAAAAACAATGAGGTGATTTAAACCAATGAGAATCATCCTCACATTTAGAGGACCTGTTTGAGAGACGGTGGATCTCTGCGGGTCCAGCTGACCCACGTTTCAGTCAAAGTTTGTTTTCCTCGGATGACTCCTCACCCCTGGGTGAGGACTCTGGTAATTCACATGGGGGAGAGTCAAGGTTGATGTGTTCCACCTTTTAAAGACAGGGTTTGGGAGATGATGCTGCCCCCTGCTGGTGTGTGCTGTGAAAATAATGACTGACCTACCCTCTCTACAAGGATGTTTCTGTATTCAGCATAAAAGTACAAAAGCAGGTATTTCCTGGTCGAGGCGACGTCTGTGTGACTGTCGCTGAAATTAAATCATATTTTAAATCATTCATAAACTTAAATAATGTTTATGGTTTTATTCATGTGAACAAAGTCTGGGCCAGAGCAGCTCTTAGTGAACGCTCTTAGGATAACATTTGTGATTTAGTGTTACAAAAATAAGGATTGATTGATTGATTGATTGATTGATTGATTGATTGATTGATTGATTGACATCGTCTTTGACTATAAGCCCCATATCAGTCTTCATGTTTCTTTAATAAAATATAATTTCCTCAGATTTATTCTGATGCAGAGATGAATATAAATGTATATAAATATAAATATATATAAATATATATATATATGTAAATATAAACTCCCAGACTCAGTCCTTCAATAACCGTGAAGGTTCCCCGCTTTGTCAACGACTGCGTGAGCGAACAGTCAACAATTTAAGAAAGTTTCTCAACTGCAAGAATTTATTGATTTTCATCTACAGTCGATAAAATCATCAAAAGATTCAGAGATATTTCTGACCCTAAACCATCACTGAATGACCATGACCTTTGACCCCTCATGCAGTTGGATAGAAGTGTATCAGCCAGCTGGCGAGCAGCTGCAGAACGGTGCGGCTCTGCCTGATCTCAGGCTCAGAGAAAATACAACAGCCAGGGGCTAAAGGGGGCTGACAGAGAGGGTCTGTTTTTATTGAAGCTCACAGTTGAAGTTACAATAAAAAAAAACCTTTTTAATGTCTTTTATTTTTTATGACACTTAATAAACATGTTTGGTTTGGTCAGCCTGTAATTAATGTTAATGAATAATGAGATTATCCAACCCCACGTCCACGACGTTAACCTGAAATACTTAGGTTTGCAGCAGCAGACTTCAGCGCCGCTGAAAGCCCACAGACAAAAACATCAAACATCTGTGCGCCATATTTTCTGACTCTTCTGAGAGGAGCAGTTTGGGGTTACTTTAAGAGGGTCATCAGTACTTCTATCTACTTCTCCCTCCAACCCAACTGTCTCAACCCTAATCTCGTCCAGTAGCTCCTATTGAGCATCAAAGCTTCAACACTCTGGTCCCACAGAGCAGGAATCTTCCTTCTGTGTAAACAGCGCTCCTGCGTGTGAACCTTCACAGAAACGCTGCTGCTCCACACAGCCACGGGGAGAACTGAGGGTGTGGAAGGACACGGATTCATCCCGGTTCAGATTTACCTGCAGCTCAAAGAGATGGAGACAGGATGTGTGTAACCATCTGCAAATATGACATTTGGAAGCTAAAAATCTACGTCACAAATATAATTATATGATTAAAAATTTACCATCTGTGAACTTAAAACCACAAAAACAAAGTTTTCAAGTCTTTGATGTGGTCTTTGGAAACGGGAGGTGAGTTTGGACCTAAGTGTGTGTGTGTGTGTGTGTGTGTGTGTGTGTGTGTGTGTGTGTGTGTGTGTGTGTGTGTGTGTGTGTGTGTGTGTGTGTGTAATTGTAAAGTGCACAGATACACAGAATAACTGATTTTGTTCCAGGTTAGAAATCTTTATATTACCGGCAGACAAGGGCGCAGCCTGGTGGGTAAAAAGGGTAATGTCTCTGAATCTGTTGAAGTGTCTCAGCATCTGTAATTCATAAATTTACGTCTTAAATTGTGCATAAAAAATCCTTTATTTTTAAGCAGATACGTCTTTGAGATGATGACCTGTCCAAAAGGTCAGCAGCACATGTGATAAAAAAGGTGACCCTCTGGCCTGCAGGGGGGGCTGTTGTCCTTCCTGTGATGTTGCAGGTCCATGTCAGCTGTAAGTGTGTGTAAATAAATCAGTTAATTTGAGAGTTCAGTGTTATTCAGTGTCTCTCCCTGAAATCATCATGTAAACCGATCATACCACGTCGATGCCTCACTGAAGATTAGATTAGATTAGATTAGATCTTTATTTATCCTTTTGTGTGTGTGTGTGTGGGGGGGGGGGGGGTCCTCTCAAGGACATTCAGAAGGTTTTAATGGTTAAATGGTTAATGGCCATTAAAATGGCTGAGGGTTTCACCTGTGCACTATCTTATATTTAATCCCCTGAAACTTCCCTCAGGGTTCTGCATTAACAGACGTTGACATTGACTTTATGACAGTAAATCAGATCTGGTCTGTCACAGTTTGGACCACTGGAGCGATTCTGCAGATTCTGAGTCAGGACATGGAGGAGCACTACAACCGAGCTTACACCAAGATGTTCTTCAAACTCAGTAACACCTGCTTTTACCAAACCACACATCTGTTTTATGTTCCCTCCTTTTCCTTGAATAATGATTGTACAGAACGAGCCAATGGCACGAGGCGCTTACACGCCGCCATGTTAGGATATTTCTGCTCCTGATACACAGAGTGCAGTAAAACAAACAGTGAGGTGAGGGCCGTCGTTGGACACGGGACGGTGGAGAAAAGGTGGAGATGTTGTTTCACAGCCAGCAGTGAGGTAAAAAAGTATATGAATGTGTGAGTGTTCCACAACAATGTCACCTGATGTGAACTTCTATAGAAAACTATTAGAGCATAAATTTGATATCAGTGATATTACCTATAATAAAACTCTTAATCAGATTTTAGATGGTCTGGAAGAGTCTCCATGAAGTCAGTGTTGGTAAAATAAAAGAGCGTGGGACAGACCCTCGGTCAGAGTGTTCATGTTTGGGTTTCATAATATTCTGTTTATGGCCCATTCTAACTGTCAAAGAGAGGAAAAGGTTCAAAATGCAGTTTCTCCTTTCACCTCATGGTGTCAGCACCACTCTAACTCTGATCTGTCACTAATATCTGGTGTCTGTAAGTAAGAAGATGAACGTCGACAGTGAGAGACGGTAATTACAATATTTGTTCACTGAAAATCTAAACTATTGTGTTTCCCTAATTTGTCAAAACACTGTTTTTCAATGTTTAGAGACACGACCAAACTAAACAGAGACGAGGACGACAGGGACAGAGAGCGCTGAAAAAGTGAACTCAAGAGCAACTCCTCATGTGGGCCTGTGAGTCAAACCATCGCCAAGGCGAGCTATAGAGTCGCCATGTTCATCGCCAAACATGGCGAACCTTTCACTGAAGGTATGTTCATCAAAAACTGCGTCATGATGATGGTGGAGAACATTTTTAATGTTAACACTGAGGACGTATCATCAGATCTTCAGTCAGCTGGGGGACGTTGGAGCGACCTCTGATTGTTTTTCATCAGCCTGCGATGAAAGCAAAGACGCTCTGACACTGATTCTGATTTGACGGTGACATAAATGACCTCAAAGGCCAAACAAGACTTTCTGTTTGTGCAGCTGTTGATGAAACTACCGTGGAGTAAAGATGGTGGGATTATTGTGTCTGCCATGGTTGGTGAACGAAGTGGATTGTCCACATTAATCTGCATCAAAGGAGTGAACACTATTGAACTGTAATATTTACCAGCAGGGTCCCTGCTGCTGCCCGCGGTAAAGCCCCACCGCCACTTTAAGCACTTCCTGCTTGACATCCAGACTGAATACGGAGATGTGGTTTATCGCACCAATGTGAGGTAGCTCAGTCCGCGGCGTGCACTGCAGGGTTTTTCTCTCTTGGAGAAGAAATTGGACATTTTTTGGCTAAAAAGGGACGACCGATGTGAGAACTAACAGGAACTGTATAACAAACAGATTCTGCCTTTTTCTGTTGACATAACGGAGCATCTGAATGTACGGAGCGTCAAGGACAAGACGACTCCTGTACAAACGCACAGTAAGGCCTTCGAAACCCAGCTGCAACTTTTCCAAAGACATTTGTCACAAACCGAACCTTGAATCTCACATTTCCCAGCTTTGAATCCATGTATGTTTATAATCTGTGTATGTCTGTAATCTGAGTATCGTTCATTTTATCTGGTTACGACTTTTACGTCTGTAGAAAGTTTCGTGACCCAGAAGCGAAACTTACTCAGACGTCAAGAGAACCAGAAACGAGCTTTGGCGTCACGGCTGGACTGGAGAATCGTTCAGCGCTCATACAGAACTTTTTTCAGGAGATGTCCAGGAGAACCAAAGAGAACCGGAAGGTTCTGAGGAGAAAAAAACACGTATGAGACACACGGCGGGGGGCGGTGTGTTGGTTTAACCGGTGACACCTGGAGCAGATGTTCAAAAGTTCAGATGACTTTTGAAGAACCTTGTTTACATTCGGTGTATCATTCACGGTCTTACTACCCGATTTGCAACCCGATCGTATCGGTTTATCGGGCCTTTTGAGACGTTAGGGGGAACGAGATTATTGGGTCAAAGATGAAGATAAAAGTGTGAAACAGAAGAAGACGGAAACTGCTGAGATATCAAAGTAAAAGTTCAGTATCTCTGTGATTTCTCTCGATCTCAAATACAAAAAAAAAAACAACAGAAACTTCAGGTACCGAACATCTGAAAGTCTGGAGCTGGGGTGTTAATTAAGTGTTAATTTTTGTCTAGAGTGGAATATGGGACTTTAGGAAGAACTTGATAACACCCATTTCATAATACCGAAGGATTCACCTGAAGAGTAAATCCATGTTGAGAACTCCTCAGACTCTCGGTGATATTTTTATCTCTTTCCATTTGAAGGAGGATCTAAGAGCGCAGTCATGTAACTCAGCTGAGCAGTTCTAGTTCTGCTGAGGTTAATTAGATTACCCTCAGAGTTTCCAGAGACATACATGCACTGATAAAGACCGCCTGTGGGATTAAAACCACAGTAAACAAGGAATCACTTCCACAGTGAGGCGCGGGTGATATTTCACCTTTTACAAACGGACCGTCATGGTGCGTCTTCTGGCTGATGGACTTACAAACCCTCATAGATGTTCACAATAAAACACTTTAATAGTTCAGATATTAAAAAAAAAACTGATGGTTGGAGCTTTAAGGTTAAAACAGACGTGTTTTTATATCGCCTAGCGTCAAGTTGATGTTTGTCCCAAAAACTACAAATATTCTGGTTGAACTTGAACTTTTATATCTTTTATATGTTTGGATGAAACAGGCGGGAAAATGCTGTCAAGAAACACGAACCCTCGATTCCTGTACAGTGGGGTTCAAGGTTGAGATTCAGGAGATCTTTGTCTTCTCTGTTTATTGTAGACGTGCATGAGTCTTCTCTGCTGTCCACTTTTGGAGAAACGTGTGGGTCGTAAGGAACCAATCAGGCAAAGGACAAAGATGTGGGGAAAGATCTTGTTCTTTGAAAAAGAAGAAATCAATTCAATATTTACCTTAATGTGGTTGAAAACAGGAAAAATCTGGGCCCACACTGAAAGAGGTCAGCTCAGCTAAAAAAGAGAGAAAAAAGAATTAAAGTGAATAATAAAGTCAAACAGACCTTTACAGGAGACATGTCAGGGGTTCAAATAGACAAAGGTCGAGTCCAACATAAACACAAGGAGAAACTAAGGTGACCACAAACTGAACATCCAACAAACTCTGGAAAATACAATCAAATTATCCAAACAAACTAAATCGTCTTTACTCACTTAAAATACAGAAAAAAACAAGTTTGATGATGAATTAAAAGTCCGAGCTTCTCCTCACTTCCCTCCTGATGGTCTCCTCACTTCCTGCAGGAAGGGCTGAAGAAGTCATCTTGAAGACAGACTTTTGTCAGGTGAGCTCAGAAAAACAAGGACAAACTGAAGGTGAGTTTTCCTCTGAGACGAGACCGTAAACTCAGATTAAACCATGAGGCCGAGGTGGTTGAGACGAGCCAAAAACCTACCAGAGCTGCTGGTACCTTCAGCTGTCTCTGATGGACCTGGTAGTTGAACAGCTTCTTGTTGCTGATCTCCACTGAGCGTTCTGCCCCTTTAGTTGTCGTACTGCCTCTTGTGATGTTGTGACTCAGGAGTCCGTGGTTTCCGTGGTCATCACACTCAGTTTTCTCTCACACGTGGTTATGAGGTTCTCAGACAGCTGCTTTGCCACATCATTGGTCATCTGCTCAGACCTCCTCAGGACTGCGTGGTGCAGCGTCTCCATCAGGAGTATTTGATATTAAACCCTGTCTCTCTACTGAGAGCTCCACTGTTACCTGGTGAAAAGGGACTCATACAGGTAAGCTCTCTTTAAGTGTCTCATATTCATGGGAAGTCAGTGGGCTTACATCGTTTTTCAGCGTTACAAGAGCTGCTGCCACTTGTTCTCTCAGTTTAGATCTGATCCAAAGATTTGAGGACAAGCAGATGAAGTCCCTGAGCGATGCAGACAGAGAGCCTTATCTGTGAAGCACATGCTGTCATGTTTGAAGGAACATCAGTGACAAGGCCTTTCACCTTCTCAGTGATTCGCCGCTCCTCCACCTGAGTACGCACCACCTGTACCAAATACTCAGATGTTTGACCTACGGGGAAATGCTCTACAGTTTATCATCTAAATCAATGAAGTGGCAGGTGACGGACAGGTAGACCTCCATACTCATCGATGTCCACATATCTGCAGTCAAGGTAACAACAGACACCTTCTGAATGTCTTCCTTGGCCTTTTCCTTGACTTCGGCGAACTTCTCACCCAACAGCTTCTTTAATCCTGACTGGGAGACGTTAGATGTTCATTTCACTTCATGTGGTTATTTATTATGAATACAGCTGCTTTTGTTAGGTATACATACACACCTTTATAGTAGGGAGAACATAGGTGGGATTAAACCCCACATCCTCCACTACAGTAAATGGCTGTGAGTCTTTAATGACCACGTCGGCCTCATCCAGCTCTGTGTTTTTGTCATGCTTTTATTTTGAAAAATGACCCAGTCACCTCACCTGTGTAATGCGAGGCCTCGTTTGTAAGTGGTCACATGGTTTTCAGCGAACCGATGCAAACCTTGAAGCGGGGCTTCGTCAGACACGCCCCCACATCCTCGTTAAGACCACCACAAACCTCCAAGTCTGATCAGAGCCACTTTAGTTCTCATTGAACTAAATACTGAAACCTCAGGTGACCTGCTGAAAGAGCTCATGTTTGATTTATTTCATTGGTGATTTCGTTATAAATGTGAGTACAGCTTTATTTCAGCTGTGTAACAGATCAACACACACAGAACCAACAGGCCAGATACACAAAAACACGTCTTACAGATGTTTTCACAGATGAAGAGATGGATCTCCTTTTTTATATTTGTTCATCGTCAGCAAATCATCAAAAAGAATTAAAGTGAATTTATTTGAGAATCCAATCTTTCCTGTTTCAGATCGTTGGTGATAGTTTGTACAGTAAACACACTTGGTCTCAGAGTTTCTCTGAACTCGGTCTCATTAAACACAAAGGTCCATCATGAATCTTGAAGCCCTCACTTATCCCTGCTTACTTCATGAATGTGTTGGTTGCACTTCTTTGGCTACAAACAGACTGTTTTCCTACAAACTCCAACTTAGATGAAGTTTGGACATTTGAGTGAAATGTGAACAAAATAAAAAAACAATGATTTTCAAATCCTTTTACACCTAAATCCACCTGAATACAAAGATATCTGATGTTCAAACTGATAAACTTGATTGTTTTTTCTTAAACATTCACTCATTTTGAATTTACTCCAAAAACGTTCAAAACTGAGAACTGCTCTAAAAACACCTGTTCGGATTATCCACAGATGGACATCTGGAAACAGGTGAGAGTCTGCGTCCTTGATAGGGGCCAGGTTCAACACTTTGTCAACAACTACATGAGCAAACAGTCCAACAGTTTCAGAACAACGTTTCTCAACATTTACTAATTTAATCATCTACATAAAATCATCTGAAGATTCACAAAGTCACAGAAATCTCTGCACCTAAGCAGCACGGCCCAAACAGTTCACTCAGTCCGTCTTTGAGTTTTATATCAACAACAGACAGAAACACCGCCAGCTTCTCTGGACCCGAGCTCATCTGAGATGAAGTGACCCAAAGAGGAAAACTCTGACGAGTCCACACTGCAGACTGTTTTTGGAACTGTGGTGTCCTCTGGACTGAAGAGGAAAAGTACGAGCCAGACTCTTCTCAGGTCCGAGAGCCATCATAAATTTGAGTTTGAATATCTCTATTAAAACTTTGTCGTGATGTTCCTCCTCGTCTGTCAGAAACGTAGTAAACTGTGCTGCTGCTGCCAGTCTTGGTCAGGACACTCTGGAAAAAGAGATTTTGAATTAAAAGATGTTTTTTCACCTGCTGTAATTCGAGTTTAAAGAAGAGTAATACTTTATTCACAGGAAACAGGAAACTTAAATCAGAACTGTAAAAGTGTTTGTTTACTTTAAATCACACATTAGACATTTTGTAAAGTCATGTTTTCATCGAGTAAACAAACCTGAACCTGCAGCCTCATATAAGTCGGTCGCCTGACTTTGGATCAACCTGCCTGAAAAAAATGAGGTTTGCAGAATCAGATGAATTATTATTATTATTATTATTATTATTATTATTATTATTATTATTATTATTATTATTTCAATCACTTCCTCAACCCCACTTTTCAAGACTTGCTTCATGTGATGTTTTCTTCTTTTCCACTTTTATTTTGTAAAAAATATATTTACCTCTTCTTTTGCTTCAGATGATTTTATTTCCATTAAATTTTGTTTTTTATTATTATTATTATTATTCTCATTGTGTTTATGTGTCTTAAAGCTTTTATTCTCTTTTATTTAAATGTTATTTATTTTCTCTGATATTGTTTTTATGTGACCTGACTTTGGGACTCACCTGTCTCTTATTACCTTCACTTATTCACAGCTCTTTAATGCTTTCATCTGTTTTAATACTTACTTTCCGTCTTATTTTATGACTTTGACCTTTTTCTGTCTCTGTTCACAGAGCTCTGTTGACCTCTTTGTTTCATTAATTCTTTTGTATCTCAGAGTGTTTTAAATGTCAGCGGTCCAGAGAGATAATAAAGTTAAAGGTGTTTTTAGAGTCAGTCTGGAGTAAAAGGAACAAATAAGATTTTCACTGATGATGTGAACATGAATATCAGGATTATTTTGATGGTGAATCTCTGGGACTGAAACCATGTTACCTATCAAAGCTGTGCTATCAATGGAACATGGTGTGAAAACGACATCCCCACTGATTGGATCATTGATCAGCTCTCTCATTGGCTGCTGCTGCTGTCTGTCAGGTACTGCAGTCTCTAATACGTTTAGCTCCTCACTTACGCAAGGCGTCTAATCTCGGTCTCGGGTACAGCTTCAGGATTGTGTCGCAGCGTCTCCCCTCCTGAGGATCTGCTGGACTACAACCTCCGTCTGGGAACCGGACCCCCATCACCCAGGGACAACCACACCGGAGCATCGAAACGTGTCAATGGAGGTCCAGTCGTGGTCGTGACTGCCCCTCACTCCTCTCACCCCACAGAAGACCGTGTGGAGACTGCAGCACCATCCACAGCAGCGCGGATCTCTGCTCCGTCGTCATGGGGACCGTCCTCTCCATATCCCCGGCGTCCAAGAGGGCGTCGATCATGGACGCCGAGGGTGATGGATTCAAGCCCGACAAGAGTCTGAAGAGACACTCCATGTTCGTGGCTCTGTCCTGGAAAAAGCTCGTTGCCAGTTCGGCGAAGAAAAGTGCGAAGAAAGTGACCCCGAACCCGCTGCCCACGCGTGATCTCCCGTACACGCAGATCTCGCAGCTCAACAGCGTCAATAACAGGAAAACGAACCAAAACGAGGAGAAAAAACCCAAAGCCCCGATCCCGGTCCCGGTGCCCACCGTGCCCACTGCCGTTAAACCGAACAGCGAGATCGTGGTCCAGAATGGGAGGCTGTCCTCGGTCCAGAAACAGCCCAGCAGCCAGTCTCTGGCCTCCCCCCGGCGGGTCATCATCCAGGCTTCCACCGGGGAGCTGCTGCGCTGTTTGGGGAACTTCGTGTGCCGCAGGTGTTTCAGACTCAAAGACCTCAACTGTGGGGAGGTGATCCTCTGGTTCCGGAACATTGACCGGACTCTGTTACTGCAGGGCTGGCAGGACCAGGGCTTCATCACGCCCGCTAACGTGGTCTTCGTCTACCTTCTGTGTGAAGACACGATAGAGGACAGCATCTCCACCGCGGCAGAGCTGCAGGGCACCTTCCAGACTTGCCTTTACCTCGCCTACTCCTACATGGGGAACGAGATCTCCTACCCACTCAAGCCGTTCATGATCGAGGCGAACAAAGACGTTTTCTGGGAGAAGGCGCTCGGGATCATCGGCAGGCTGAGCGCCAAGATGCTGCAGCTCAACGCGGACCCGCACTTCTTCACCGAGGTCTTCCAGGACCTGAAGAACCAGCGAGAGAGCAGCGACTCGAACCTGGACCGCTGATGTGGAGACAAACAGACAGTTTTATAGAATCATGATGAATGTTCCACAAAATCACAGGGAGGTGGTTTTGAATGTAAAGGCCTGAAGGCTTTTCCACGTCTGGGCTGATTGTGTAAGATACTCTCCTTCAGGACGGTGTTCAACCTACAGTAGGACATGTTTCAGCCTACAGTAGGACATGTTTTAACCTACAGTAGGACATGTTTTAACCTACAGTAGGACATGTTTCAGCCTACAGTAGGACATGTTTTAACCTACAGTAGGACATGTTTTAACCTACAGTAGGACATGTTTTGACCTACAGTAGGACATGTTTCAGCCTACAGTAGGACATGTTTTGTAGCTGCATGCTGATGGTGTTTTGTCCTCTTTTGTCTCTTGAGTGGCAGCGGGATTTCATTCATGGTTAGGCCTGTTTGTGGGTCAGTGAGAGGATGTCGCAGTGAGGTGAGCGTCTACGCAGTGCCAGAATAGGTGTGTGTGTGTGTGTGTGTGTGTGTGTGTGTGTGTGTGTGTGTGTGTGTGTGTGTTCGTGCACAGTGAAGAAAGGCGGAGCTGGCCGAGGTGCTGACCTGAGCAGCCGTTCCTCCTCCTCCTCCTCCTCCTCCTCCTCCCTCTCCTCCTTCTATTTGAGTCTCCACAACAGAGTCGAGCTTAAGAGGACAGAAATAAGCCCAGATCACTTTTAGCACATAAGCCTAAGCCTCCCAGGTATAGAGGTGTAGGCTGTAGGCCTACATTTTAAAAATATCTGCATGCTGTTAAACATGCAACCTCCATCACCATCATGTCTCTTCATGAGAACACAGGTGGTATAAATGTAGATATTTGGATAGAAAAGGATTTATTTCATATTTGCACCTGAATGAACATTTTAATTTAAAAGCTTTTTCATGTAGTGAAAACTATAAATTAATTCATTAAAAACTTGGTTTGAATTAAATTAGCTTGTTTTCTCTGCCAACATTAACTCATGTACAGGTGTTCTACCTGTTAATGAGTTATTCAGTGTAAAAATGGGGACGGGGGGCGATAATGTGATGACTTGCACTAAATGTAATGTAAGGCCTCTGTTGTGTATTGATTCCCAATGCATTGCTGATGCCTGCGTAAATAAATGGAATGTAAAGGTTTTGAACTACGTGCCAACTCTGACAGACTCTTGGCCTGAATCCTGAGGTTTACATGTAAATATTCCACATGTTGAATAAGCTCTGTGTGTGTGTTTTTCTTTGCCTGTTTTGGAGGAGGCCGCCGCCGTCGTCGATGATCATGTTGTTTTTGCCCAAAGAACAAACAGAGCTGATCTCGGCCCGCTCTGTGAATGTGCTGTGGTGCTCAGTCAGTAAAGGAAGAACGCCTCCTCACCGTGTAAATACTGTGAATGTCTCTTATGAAGTGACAGAATTTGATTTGCACACATCCTTGTATTTCCTATAAGCTAAAACTCACAGAAGCTTGTGGGACAAACTGTCATTATTCTGTATGAAGTGATCATCGTGCTGTGTTGTGCTACCATTGCTTGGATTTTAATGCTGCTACTTTGCACAGCTGTGAACAAACCTTCGATGTTTTGCACAATGGTGTGACATAATGCTCGTGCACCAGTGTTAACCTGAAGACACTGGAATGTTTGGCATCAAGTTTGTAGTAAATGTCAGCGAGTCACGCTCTGGATAATCAGATGTAAAGTCAATCTTTTGTACAGTTTCATTTTTCATGTGTGTCGGCTGGACAGTGATATCTAGATGTGTCTGTCGCCTGTGGTGGTCCGCCACAGTTCACTCCTGCTACATGTTGAAGTAAAATAAACAGACCCGTATCATAACTGTTCATGATGACCATGATGAAATAAATGAAAATGTCAGAGCTCGTCTCTCTCGCCTTGTTGTCAAAGTCTCTGTCTAACCTACACGTCTTCATGAATGGGCACACGTTTGTACAAACCTGCGAGTTAGCTGAAGCGCTGATTAGCTAGAAGAGCCTCTTATCCATTCACTCCACACACTAATCCTTTGATTTGCTGGGCTCCCTCAGGACATGGTTATGTAACAGAAGAAAGAGCCATGACAAAAATGTTTACTGCAATGATACCAGAAGGCGGCCGTGACACCAGAACCATCAGGTCGAGTTATTGTTGTGTGAAAAGGAAGAACTTCACGTCTTCATTCAGTAACAGGTTTAACTGGTTAATGTCTGATATAAAACGGTGCAGCTCACACACCTGCGTCACTCTGAAGTACACTGACATATATTCAGGATATTTTTGGACTTCTATCAGTCTCTTGGGAATTCTAATCAGGGCCACACATGGAAATGAGAACACAGGAACCGCAGAGGAAAAAAGTCCAGTTGAAGGGAGAGATGGTTCTGCTCCGATCTCTCTGCTCTTCACGATCATCTCAGACTCCGAACATCGGCGTTAAATGGGTGAGATTTCAGAAACACACCAGTGTATCGATGACAGAAAGAGAAAACTGAGCTGGACTGATACGGGCTTTTTTTTTTTTTAGTAAACCACATGGGCTGGAGGGTTCTGTCATCTGATTGGTTAGAATCTGCTGCAGTCTCAGAGCTGTCTGTGACTCTCTCTCTCCCTCTCTTCCTCTCTCTCTCTCTCTCTGTCTTATAGGACATACAGAATCTATTTACAGAACAAAATATAACAATCTTGACAGAAAGAGAACGACAGTCGAGGAGGAAGGCAAAGACATCCGACAGAAACTGTGAGGGAGGGCTGAACATTAAAACAGAGAGTTTCTGTTTCATCCTACATCCGTCTGTGATAAACACGGGTCAAAATCTAACGTTATTATCCACAGCTGTTCAAAATGACAAGTACAGATGTGGACCTTCATTAAACTGCAGGTTCCTCCCACACACTGTCACACATCAGCCTTTATCCGATCAGATCTACAGTGTCTTTAACAGAATGATATAAAAAACTCTGTTCATGTGTTTTCAGAGATAATTTTCCAAACAGTCCAAACACTTTCACTTCTGATGGGCTTCATATTCAGCAACATGATCTGTTCATTCAGAGCATCTCGAGTCTAATTGTTGAAGAATAAGAAGAACTTTATTAAGTTATCGACTATTTACAGCAGAGTTATAAAGTCTGTTGGTCCAAAGATCTTCTGAATCTTTCTGTCCTGCAGTGAAGAGAGAGGAGCCGTCCACCACCATCGGTCCTTTGGTCCATCAGGGTGTTGTGAAGTGGGTGATCCATGTTCTTTAGAATAGTCTCCACCTTCCTCAGTGTAGATCTCTCCACCACATCCTCCACAGATCCAGCCTTTTTCACCAGTTTGTTCAGACGTCTTCATCTTTGTGTTTGATACTTCCTCCTCAGCAGACTGCAGCGTAGAACAGAACACTGTAGATCTACACCACAGACTGATCAAACATCTGCAGCATCTAACTACAGATGTCTATGATCAGAGTCTTCTCAGGCTAAAGAGGCGGTTCTGCCCCTTTCAGTAGATGAAGTCGATATTCTTAGACCAGTCCAACTTATTATCCAGATGTTCACCTGGATATTTATATGATGTCACCATTTCAATGTCCACTCCACAGGTGTTCACTGGCTGAAGAGGAGGTCTGGATCTACAGAAGTCTATGATCATCTCCTTTGTCTTTGAGGTGTTGAGGAGGAGGCAGTTATTCTGACTCCAGTCACTGAAGACTCTTATTAGATCTCTGTCTTCAGCTTCTTGTCCATTTCTGATACATGCCACAGTAGCGGTGTCATCTGAGTATTTCTGGATGTGTCAGGACTCAGTGCTGTATTTGAAGTCTGATGTATACAGTGTGAACAGGAATGGTACCAGCACTGTCCCTTGTGGAGCTCCTGTCCTGCTCATTAATGTCCCAGAAACAGTTTCCCAGTCTGACAAACTGTGGTCTTCCTGTCAGGTAATCTGTGATCCAGGAAACACAGGAAGGATCCACTCCCACTCTGTGAGCTGGTCTTTGAGTAAGGTGGGTTGGATGGTGTTGAATCCACTTGAAAAGTCGAAGAACATGATCCTCACATGAAGCCCAGGTTCCTCCAGATGAGACAGGTCACGGTGAAGCATGTAGAGGACAGCATCATCCACTCTAATGTGTTCTTTGTATGTAAACTGCAGGGAGTCCAGTTTGTCTCTGACCTCTGACCTCAGACGGTGTAGAATCAGCCGCTCCAGGGTTTCCATGATGTGTGAAGTGAGGGTCACTGGTCTGCAATGCAGGAGGTTTTCCACAGAGCAGGTACCCGCCACAGCTGTAGACTCAGGTTGAAGATCTTGTGGAGAGGTTGACACAGTTCTGCAGCACAGTCTCTGAGCAGCCTTGGACACACACCACCTGGACCAGCTGTCTTCCCAGGACAAAGTCTTCCAAGCTCCTTCCTCACCCCAGTTTCTGTGACAGACAAGGACTGGAGTTCGAGGAGGGAGGCAGATGAAGTGGTTGAGACATTTGAAGGAGATGGAGGAGGAAGGGGAGAAGTTGTAGTGGAGAGGAAGGTGGAGTAGCAGTGGAGGTGTTTCTGCTCTCATCTGTTCTCCAAGTTAAAAGTGGATTGAATCAGATTGAAGTATTTAGTTTTCTTTGTCCCTAAATGCACAGATCTTTCTAATATCATTGACTCACCTGTTGGGCCTGCAGGTCTAAATCTACAATAAAAAACTCATGTGGTCAAACTTCCATCATTATCTTTTAAATGAAACCTCTAAATATTATTACAGTGATGATCGCTGTGATTATTAAAATGTTGTCAGATTCTTCCGTCTCTTCACAGGTTGGTGTGATGGTAGAATCCTGCTGCAGCATTATGTAACAGGCCCCCAGTGCAGTGAGTCTCCTCTTTATTATCAAGATTCAGTCCAGGTCTGCTGCATATCTGTCTGCCAGCCTGTTCTCAGCATTCTTGTCCCCTGCGTCGCTATAGTAACGGGTCGGCAAGTGAATAGGAACTGGACAAAGTGAGCAGTGTGGGACTGAGCATGGGCTGAACCACTGCACAGCATGCACATGCATACACACAAACATATGCACACACATGCACACACATGCATGTGCGTGCATGTGTGTGCATGTTCTGTATCTAACCTGGGAACAGTGATGGTGATTACAAACGTCAATGTATGACAATGAAATGAGTTTTTTAACATGAAGCAGTGATTTAACTTTGAGTCTGTTCAGCTCTTAGTTCAGCTGCTGTAGGTTTAGACTGCCGGGGTTATCTGGTAATAAACTAATAAACTAATGAACTAATGAACTAATAAACTAATAAACTAATAAACTAATGAACTAATGAACTACTGCAGCTCCTCAGAAGAAAAACCCTCAAAAATGACACACGTGATTTTGGCTAAAAACTTCACGATCCCAGATTAAAGACCGATGAGAACACTTTAAGTTTTTAAAGAAAGGTCTTCCTCTCCACTGTAACTTTATAAACGCTCTAAAGTGTTTCACTCATGAGGTTGAAGATGGGCTGGGAGGGGGTCTGATCTTTCAGGAGGGGGTCTGATCTTACAGGACGGGGTCTGATCTTACAGGAGGGGGTCTGATCTTACAGGACGGGGTCTGATCTTACAGGAGGGGGTCTGATCTTACAGGAGGGGCTCAGTCTGATCCCATCAGTTCTCAGAGCTCCTTGAATCTATCAGCGAGACGTTTTGATGGTGTACAGAAAAAGAGACTCACTGTTTCGACTAAAATTGTTTCTAAAAATGTTTATATAATTATATATGATATTTTTATACAATTTTTTTTCTCTTTTATGTATTTAATATTTTCTGTACAGGTCTAGATGAACTATAAAACTAACTTTTAGAGTTATCTGTGAACTGTGACCATGATACACTGTTGCCCATAAAGTTGGAGAGCAAGATGACAACGCCAGAGCAAGACGACAACGCCAGAGCAAGACGACAACGCCAGAGCAAGACGACAACGCCAGAGCAAGACGACAACACTAGAGCAAGACGACAACGCCAGAGCAAGACGACAACGCCAGAGCAAGACGACAACGCCAGAGCAAGACGACAACGCCAGAGCAAGACGACAACGCCAGAGCAAGACGACAACGCCAGAGCAAGACGACAACGGCAGAGCAAGACGACAACGGCAGAGCAAGACGACAACGGCAGAGCAAGACGACAACGCTAGAGCAAGACGACAACACTAGAGCAAGACGACAACGCTAGAGCAAGACGACAACACCAGAGCAAGACGACAACATCAGAGCAAGACAACAACGCCAGAGCAAGACGACAACCCTAGAGCAAGACGACAACGCCAGAGCAAGACGACAACACCAGAGCAAGACGACAACATCAGAGCAAGACAACAACGCCAGAGCAAGACGACTAGCCAGAGCAAGACGACAACACCAGAGCAAGACGACAACGCCAGAGCAAGACGACAACACTAGAGCAAGACGACAACGCTAGAGCAAGACGACAACGCCAGAGCAAGACGACAACACTAGAGCAAGACGACAACACCAGAGCAAGACGACAACACTAGAGCAAGACGACAACGCTAGAGCAAGACGACAACGCCAGAGCAAGACGACAACACCAGAGCAAGACGACAACACCAGAGCAAGACGACAACGCCAGAGCAAGACGACAACGCCAGAGCAAGACGACAACACTAGAGCAAGACGACAACATCAGAGCAAGACGACAACATCAGAGCAAGACGACAACACCAGAGCAAGACGACAACGCCAGAGCAAGACGACAACGCCAGAGCAAGACGACAACACTAGAGCAAGACGACAACATCAGAGCAAGACGACAACATCAGAGCAAGACGACAACGCCAGAGCAAGACGACAACACTAGAGCAAGACGACAACGCCAGAGCAAGACGACAACGCTAGAGCAAGACGACAACGCCAGAGCAAGACGACAACACTAGAGCAAGACGACAACGCCAGAGCAAGACGACAACGCTAGAGCAAGACGACAACACCAGAGCAAGACGACAACGCTAGAGCAAGACGACAACGCTAGAGCAAGACGACAACGCCAGAGCAAGACGACAACACTAGAGCAAGACGACAACACTAGAGCAAGACGACAACATCAGAGCAAGACGACAACATCAGAGCAAGACGACAACGCCAGAGCAAGACGACAACACTAGAGCAAGACGACAACGCCAGAGCAAGACGACAACACCAGAGCAAGACGACAACGCTAGAGCAAGACGACAACGCCAGAGCAAGACGACAACGCCAGAGCAAGACGACAACACTAGAGCAAGACGACAACGCCAGAGCAAGACGACAACACCAGAGCAAGACGACAACACTAGAGCAAGACGACAACGCCAGAGCAAGACGACAACGGCAGAGCAAGACGACAACGCCAGAGCAAGACGACAACGCCAGAGCAAGACGACAACGCCAGAGCAAGACGACAACGCCAGAGCAAGACGACAACACTAGAGCAAGACGACAACACTAGAGCAAGACGACAACGCCAGAGCAAGACGACAACGGCAGAGCAAGACGACAACGGCAGAGCAAGACGACAACGGCAGAGCAAGACGACAACGCTAGAGCAAGACGACAACACTAGAGCAAGACGACAACGAAGCCGCTAGAGCAAGACGACAACACCAGAGCAAGACGACAACGCCAGACAAGACGACAACCCTAGAGCAAGACGACAACGCCAGAGCAAGACGACAACACCAGAGCAAGACGACAACATCAGAGCAAGACAACAACGCCAGAGCAAGACGACAACGCCAGAGCAAGACGACAACACCAGAGCAAGACGACAACGCCAGAGCAAGACGACAACACTAGAGCAAGACGACAACGCTAGAGCAAGACGACAACGCCAGAGCAAGACGACAACACTAGAGCAAGACGACAACACCAGAGCAAGACGACAACACTAGAGCAAGACGACAACGCTAGAGCAAGACGACAACGCCAGAGCAAGACGACAACACTAGAGCAAGACGACAACACTAGAGCAAGACGACAACATCAGAGCAAGACGACAACATCAGAGCAAGACGACAACGCCAGAGCAAGACGACAACACTAGAGCAAGACGACAACGCCAGAGCAAGACGACAACACCAGAGCAAGACGACAACGCCAGAGCAAGACGACAACACTAGAGCAAGACGACAACGCTAGAGCAAGACGACAACGCCAGAGCAAGACGACAACACTAGAGCAAGACGACAACGCCAGAGCAAGACGACAACGCCAGAGCAAGACGACAACACTAGAGCAAGACGACAACACTAGAGCAAGACGACAACGCCAGAGCAAGACGACAACGCCAGAGCAAGACGACAACACTAGAGCAAGACGACAACACTAGAGCAAGACGACAACGCTAGAGCAAGACGACAACGCCAGAGCAAGACGACAACACTAGAGCAAGACGACAACACCAGAGCAAGACGACAACACTAGAGCAAGACGACAACGCTAGAGCAAGACGACAACGCCAGAGCAAGACGACAACACTAGAGCAAGACGACAACGCCAGAGCAAGACGACAACACTAGAGCAAGACGACAACACCAGAGCAAGACGACAACGCCAGAGCAAGACGACAACACTAGAGCAAGACGACAACACTAGAGCAAGACGACAACACCAGAGCAAGACGACAACGCCAGAGCAAGACGACAACACTAGAGCAAGACGACAACACCAGAGCACAGAGGGCGGCTGCAGAGAGAGAATATCTCGGTGCAGAGGGGGTGCAGCACAGCCGGATTGCTCCCCTGATATGAACCCTATTGAGCATGCCTGGAACGCCTTGGGCCGAGCCATCAATGAGAGGGACAGTAGACTGAAGAGTGGGACGCCCTGCCCACTGACAACATCAACAGGCTTGTGGACAGAACGCCACGACGTCTTAATGCCCTGATCCGTGTCAGGGGTCTCGATATTAGCGGCTGTGTGACATTTGAAAGAGTGATATTTGACTTTTATGAAATCTCCTGGAAACTGTGTTTCCTGTCAAACTGACCGAAGGCTGAAGAATGTAAACAAAGGCTTCATCCTGTTGTTTCAACCCCCAGTTTTGTTTCAGCCTGACTGCAGTTTGTGAAGGTTAACTGTGGTTTGGTTGTGAAATCTATGGAAGAGATTGATTAATAAAGTTTTGAGAAGATATAAACTTTATTTGTCAAGAACATCGTCACAATCATTTCATGGAAAGAGGTAAAAAATATTTTATTCCAACTTTATGAGCAACAGTGTCGATTTACTTTGATGATTGATTGATTGATTGAACACGTCAGGAAGTCTTTTGGTTCTGATCGTCCTAACATCGCCCTGCTTCACCTGGATGGACAAAGACTAAATCTAGAGCAACAGAAGAAAGACAGCGTGGAGATTATGTGTGTTTTTCTGTCCTCATACTACATGACCTCCCCGCTAATCTCTTAAACGAGTTTACATCACAGCTTTGCAGTGAGAAGTTGATGGTCAACACTTCAACATAACATCAGAGAGTGACTTATCATCTATGCCATCGTGTTTAATACTTTAAAGACTCATTACCATAAAGAACCACGTTCATCCGTCTCACATTTAGAATCAGCTTGTTATGCAATGTCAACAAATCCATCATTCACACCTACAACATATTCACTGTTATTTTCTCCTCTCAGTTCACAATGAATCACTTCACGCTGCATGAATCTGTGTGATGGTTCTTCCATACAGTCTTATGTAACAGTAAAAACAGCCTGTTGCTCGGAGCTCAAATCCTAGACCCGAGTAAACATATGAAAATTCAGCAAACGATCACCTGTTCCCACTCCTCCATGTTTGTGATGATTTTACCTCTTTGCTCTTATTCTCAGGTCTATTTTAGTTCCAGGTAGATGTTCTGATTTAGCCGAGCCTTCATTATCACTCTGTATGAGTCACTGCAACGCTCCACAACAGCCACACAAAGCCCACTGACTGCTGCGCCTCGTGTCCCAGTAACGCTGTGGGACTAAGTGTACTGAATATTTTTCCTGAATGTGTGACTCATAATAAACTTGACAAGAATTGGAGTGGATGTTAAAATGTGTGGTGAGAAAAAAAGGGGGGTGTTTGTGCTCTCACTCAAATTAACCTTTTAGCCTTTCATAAAAACAGCTCCTGAAAAAAAGACTTTAGTTTAACTCTGTGAACTCACTCTGACAGCAACTGAAACCAGCGGCTGCCAAGGACGAACGAAGAATATACGAGTATAACATCAGATGTGATATTATTATTAGTGAAACTGAGTCCCGCTGAGTCAGACCTCTGTTACTAACCCGCCATGTTGGGACGGGCTCAGCTCAGTGTCCAGGGATGGAATCAATAAGATTTTATTGATACTGATGCCATTATCGATTGTGCTTATCGATTCAATTCTTTAACGGTTCCCCTATCGATGCCTTCTGTTGGTTTTAGAAAAAGTAGACTGTAGGTTTTCACCGTTAACGTTTTATTGAGTCTCTGAAAACAGAAACAGACGTTTGTCTAAAAATAATCATTAATCAATAATCAATAAATCATTTACTTCAGTCTGTATGAAGTCAGATTAGGTTCTCAACAAGAACCGGTTCTCGATTCCCGTCCCGACCCAGCGACCTACGATGAGAGTCATCCCTGCTGGCTGTTCTGGCTCCACCTGGTGGCTGTTTGACATCAGAACAGTCAAACGGTGAATGTTTGTGATTTCTTTGACCTGAAATCAAACAGAGACTCTGATGCTTTTTGTTGAAATCCTTGAGATTTGTCGTCATCTTCTTATTATCAGTTGTTTATAATAAAATGAGACGATCTCAGAGATGTTTTCTTTCACTCACAGCTTTTTAGTAAAGTATTAAACACAAACTAAGAGTTTAAATTCATTAATTCTCCCTGATTGTGAAACTTTTAAACCTTTTCACAGATTTCTTTTTCAGTCGGCTCTATAGAGACACGACTTTTTTATGATCTATTTGTTTTGATCTTTTCGGTGTTAAACTCAGGATCCGTTTGTCTGACGCTCTCGGTCGGTTCTTTACACGCTCATAAATGGACATTTTGGGTTAATCTGCTGTTTGCAGATGGTTTCTATCTTTCATGAAGAGGTCATCACCTTGTTATGGAAAGGCAGTTCTGATGTTGAAGAGCTGTAGCGCCCTCATGTGGTTGGCAGGGGTAACCCTGATCTGAGCCTCAGCACCATCCCTTGGACCGGTCCTCAGAAATTATAGTTAATATGATAAAAGAACTTTATTTATCCCTGAAGAAGATCAGTTCTGTATAAATAAAGAATCATTTACTCTACAGGCCAAAAGTCTGGAAGTTCAGATTTGTACAAAGATCATAGTTTCATAAATATAATTTTAAACACAGTAAACATGACTGTTGTGTAAAGAGTAACTGATCTGAAGACATTCTGACTGTAATTCTGAGGTATTTGAGTTTTTGTTGTTAGACTTTCTTTAAAGTTACCTCCTCTGGCTTTAACAACAGCTCGGCATATACCAGGTACCAAGTTTTCTAAGGTCTGTTCCAGGGATTACATTCAAGCTTTCTTAAGTTCATTAAAAAGAGACGCTGATTCGAGGGACGCGTTTTTCTGACCGATCGATCCGATTCATCCCACACAAGCTCAGTTGGAGAAAGGTCTGGAGACTGAGGGGTCCAAACCATCTTTTGAAGAACACCTTCCTCTTCTCTTTTGTCTCGGTAACCCTGACAGAGCTCGGCAGAGAGCTTAGGGTCATCGTCTTACTGCAAAACAAACTGATGAGCCACAAGTCTGAGTCCAGATGGAGCAGCATGGTGCTGGAGGATGGAGTGGTACTGTTCCTTCTTCATGATACCCTTTACCCTTCAATGTATATCTAAAGGTAAATGGAGTAAAATGGTGCATTTCCATGGAAACAACATCTGATCATGGAGTAAATACATCCCAAAATACATCAAACTGGAGTTAAAAAAAGACTGTGAACAAAAACTTGAAGTTACTCCGACTGTTCGGCCTGAAACGGCCGCGCTTCCAAACTTTTGGCCTGTAGTGAAGATAAAGGAAAACATTGACTTCCTGATGTACAAATATCCTTATTTTTCTAATTTAACAAGAAATCAAAATGATCCTCCTCAGATGAACCAGCACCGTGAAATAAACAAACAGTATTTATTCACAACAAATTCAATCAAATTATTTCTTTATTGAAGTTTGAATCAAATGAAGGAATTTAATCCTTCCCATCCAGACAAACAAACAAACACACACACACAGTTGTTCCAGCCTCACTCTTTCTACTTCACATCCTAATTCTCACACAAATTAAAACCTGGTCCGTCTGAGGGAAACCAGTTCAGAGGGAAACCAGTTCAGAGGGAAACCAGTTCAGAGGGACCAGGTTCTCATTTTATTGCAGGAGAGTAAAGTTTGATTAAATTACAGACATTTTCTATCAAACAGCCACGGAAACGGCACATCGAGGAACAATAAAAACCACAACAACAGATTTAACACAAACAAACGAGACGAACTGGATTCAGGACTCTCCAAAACCACGAGGTGGCGCCATTGGTCCATTTAGGTCTGCTGTCACTGATCACTGATCTGTTATTAAAAAATAAACTCTAAACTTTTATGAACCTTAAAAAAAAAAAAAAAAACTCAAAATTTTTATTTTCTCTAATTAAAAAAAAAAATCCCTGCAGAGGAGGAAGAGGAGGAGATGATGAAGATCACGGTTATTAATGTGTTTGTTTACCCCCCCTCACCTACAAACACAGAGATCTGACAATGATCAAATTATTGATCAGATTATTGATCAGATTACTGATGAGTTATTGATGAGTTATTGATTAATTACTCTGTGGTCCTCTCCGGTCATTTTTCAGCGCGTTTGTCTAAAATGTTGAAATCTTTAAAAACTGATAATAAATAAATAACAGACTGATCATAAATCAATAATTAATAATAATGAATAAAAACCTTTTTTTAAACCTGCAGAAAGAAAAAAAATCCTCTCTTTGTCAAAATCTAGATTTTGTAAAATCTTCAGAGAAAATGAAGGTTTTAATTTTACTCACTAACTCTGATCTCAGTCTGCTCTCTGCTCCGGGTCCGGGTCTGTGGGTCTGTGGGGTCTGTGGGGTCTCTTCATGTCTCTTCATGTCTTCGTGTCTCTTCATGTCTCTCCAGTTTCTCCGGTTCCTCTCACAGACGTTCTCAGTCAGTTTAATGTCGGTTACCGTCAGTTGTAGTGTCCGTTGATGTTGCTCAGACTGTTGATGTTGTTGACACAGCTGATGTGGGACGGGGACACGGTACCGAACGGTCCCGAAGGCTGCAGGTTGTGACTGTGATACAGGGCCGCCGGAGGAGAACCGGGCCAGTAGGAGAATCCGGACGGGCCCACCCCGGGAGTGACCAGGTTCAGTTTGGAGATCCCGGAGAAAGGGATCGGGGAGAAGTTCCCCTGGAACTTGTAGAGGGCCTGCTCCGTGGTGGTGGGCTGACACACCTGCGCCAGGCCGTGGAAGTCGAACTTGTAGGCGTAGCGCTTCCCGTGGACTTTGGTCATGATGTTCTTGTCGTAGTAGTACCGCAGAGCCCGGCTCAGCTTGTCGTAGTTCATGTTGGGTTTGCTCTTCCGTTCCCCCCAGCGCCGGGCCACCTCGTCCGGGTCGATGAGCTTGAACTCCCCGTTGGTTCCTTCCCAGGCGATACAGGACATGTTGGAGCTGTCGGAGAGGAGCTCCAGGAGGAACTGCCACAGCTGGATCTGACCGCTGCCTGCAGAGGAGCAACAAGGGTGTGTGTGTGTGTGTGTGTGTGTGTGTGTGTGTGTGTGTGTGTGTGTGTGTGTGTGTGTGTGTGTTAACCATCAGATCAAATATTAACAAACATCAAATCATTTTCATTCAATATTTCAATTTTACACTAAAGAAAAATTTTCCTTAAATTTCATATAAAACACAGAAAATCATTCAGTCACGGAGGAGATTCACGGATTCACGGATTCGGTCTCTATTTAGATTTATATGAAGGGAATTAATCATTAAAATATCCGAATTATTGATCATCTACAGGCCATTCTGACATTTGTCGATTTTTTATGAGCCTGTTTTTATTTAGATCTGTTGATATTTGACATCTCTGTTACATTTTTAATTATCACACACCCATATATATATATATATATATATATATATATATATATATATATATATATATATATATATGAAAGTGTGAAATAACTGAAAACATGTTTTATATTCTAGTTTCTTCTAAATAACCTCGTGATTTTCTTCATGATTCCTCATGTGTTCATTTATAATTTTGATCCTTCAGTGAGAATCTACAATTTAGATAGTAATGAGAATAAAGGATATATATATATGTGTGTGTGTGTTTGTGTGTTTCTGATAAATCAAACCTTTGTCAGAGATACTGATAAAAACTGTAATAATCTTTATTGAAGCTCTCAGACATTCAGATCATCGATATGAAAATAATTTCTGAAGAATTGATCTTAAATTAATTTGTTATTAAAATCCAGTAAATATTATTAGAGGCTTCGATGACTGTAAAAATAATATAAATGTCTTAATAAAGAAATTTCTCTGGATAAATATGATGTTTAGATTTAATATCGACCTCATTTATTAATTCATTTAAATATTAAATAGATTTGTGCTGCAGGATTCTGGTGGTTCCGGTCTCTTACCTTTCTGGACTCCTGTGTTGATCGGAGTCCACGAGGCTCCTTTACTGTCCTTCAACAGGTTCTCCGTGGGGTCTGAAAACACGCAGAAAAACACTGTAAACAACATTTATAATGTACTTCTGTATAAAACAGCCCCACAGTCTACAGCACATTATTAGAGACATGTCACAAATTTATATCAGAGCTCCTCTGATTCTGTTTTCCTCTTTTTTTAAATGTTTTATCCTCTGACTAACAAACTCAGACTGAAGTGATTTATTTCAGAAGAGCAGAAATTAAACAGAAATACAGAAAAGTTCCTGTTTTGGTTTTCAGAGAAGGTCCATCAGCAGCTGTAAAAACGCTCTTTGTAAAAACGCTCTTTTTTTAAAAGCTTCGTTAAATGTTGAAAAAAAATAAAAATCTGAGGCTAAAATTCTGGTTCTGGATCGTGATCGTGTTCTGGTCCTGGTCCGGTCTCAGTCAGGAGCACAAAGGGGTCTTCTCTGCGCTCTCCTCTCCGGAAAAACCAGGAAACGCGTCCAGGAAAAAGGATTTCCGATTTCCGACAAAAGAGCAGAGACGGGCTGAGATTGAAGCCGAACAAAGCCGGAGCCCCCCCGCCTCAGGACCCCCCACAGCTCCACACCTTCTTCTCTAATAATCCACAGAATAAAGGAGTTAAAGAAGAGTGTGTGTTTTTCTGTGGGTCTAACCTGAGAGGTACATGTTGAACATGAGCTGTCCTCCTCCGCTGTCCTGTCTCATTCTGTTCACTCGTTCACAAAGACTTGGATTTCATTTCGTTGGTGGAAGATTTTTATTAAACTTTATCTCATAACTGGGATCTGGAATAAATGCGGGAGGACAGATTGAAGTTTCCAGGCAACTGTCAGTGGCCCCCATCTCTGAGACAATATTCAGACAGCAATTTCCCCTGCTGCATTGCTTTAATTAAAAGAGCAATTTACCTCTGTCAGCTCGGCTGCTGCCCACAATAAAAAGAGGCCGATCGAAATTCGGCCTTATCAATCCGCCATCACAGTTTAATAAAGTTTCCGCGTTAAGATCTGAGTTTCTATGGTGAATTGAAGTGTTTGACATGGAAACCAGTTCAGATCCTCCTCACTTTTCCGCCTCTTTACCTCCGAGCAAACAACCGAAAACCTTTTCAGGATGGAAAACAGAATATTTACCTTCAAACCCGCTTCAGTGCACCTGAGAAAACAGACCGACCCGAGGACCTGCTGGACCTGCTGGACCTTCTGTCTGCGGGTCTGAAGGTCATAAACTCAGAACGAGGCTGTAAAAACACGCCGAGAACCACGTGGACTGTCAATTACACACACACACACACACACACATATATATATATATTAGAGATAAGTGTACATATGTTACACATATATAACAACATGTTACATATATACATGAAAAGCTTTATGGATTAAATATTCTTATTTTAGAGATACATGTAGATATGTTATATATACATGTAAAGCTTTATGGACTGAATCACCAACCCTGAATAAAAACAGGCTCTTCTACAGTTACAGAAGTCAGATTAAAGAAGTCAGATTAAAGAAGTCAGATTAAATAAATCTCCTCTTCAGTTTTATTTTTGATGTAGAAAATCAGGATTTTTACAGGCTGATGGATTAAAACCCTGAAGTGTTTTTTCTCAGTTTCTTATTCACAAAAACAAAGAGAACAAACGAACAAAGACTTTATTGAGCTTCACAAACAAAGATGTAAAATTAATACAATCAAATCATTTTGGTTTATTTCTGTAAATATGATGAAATCATCACAGTAACATCCTCTACATGTGTGTGAATGAATGATGCTCCTCAGATTTAAGGTTGTTGGTCTGCTCTAATATTTCTGGGATTTTATTTGTGGTCATACATCACGTCTTTGTCCACCTGTAAAAAAAAATCCAACTACACACAAAAACCTACAGAGATAGTTTTATATGAGGCACTAATATGTTGACATTTATCACGTGGGTCTTCATGGACGCCATCTTGTTTGTCTGCAGGGAAACTGATGTTATCAGAGCAGCAGGAGGAGCAGAGCTCACTTTTCTATCAGCAGAGATGACAGTTTGTTTATTTGATCCCAGTCTTAAAAGGCAGAAATGTCCTGATATTGTATGAAATCAAAAGTTAACTGGATGTAAAGTAAACAGCGTGTTAATCCTTCATATTTCAGGTGTGACTCAGAGATGTTCCACCTGCACTAAGACAACCTGGAGAAGCTGTTGACTTTAGTGTACCAACAATAAGCAGGTTTATACTGAACAGTCTCATTTACATGAGCACACTTTAAAAAAACAAGAATAAGAAATTAAACTGTCATTTACCAAATTCATTCACAGAGACCGTCCTCTTCCATAAAGAAATTACTGGATTATTGAAAATCTAATAACCTGTCTTCTTTCTTTCTCTGAGGAACCGAGTCGAATCGTCCACTCGTCACCAGGTTCCAGGACTCGTAGGAGAGACTCTGGCGTCCCAGACTTGCTTTAGCTGCCTGTGTCCATGTAAGGGTCGCAGGCAACTTAAAACAAGCCTCGAAAGCTAGACTGAGACCAAGACCAGGCTGATGTAGGGAAGACAAAAGAAGACTGTCCAGAGGTGAAAAAATCCACTGATAGGAAGAGAAAAAAAAACACACACCGATAAAAGAAGTTCAGAAACACACTGATCATGTTTCCTCTGCTTCAGTAATATAATAATATTATTATATACAATATAAATATATATAAATACATACAACACATGAGAATGATGTGACATCAGGAGAGAGGCAACTTTAAACTGAGCTCTGATCACAGTGAAGGAATAATAATAATCATGAATCCTGTGGTCTGTCTGTCTGTAGTTCAGTGATAATTATAAAGTTATTTTACCTTTAGATGGATTTAAGAAAAAAAAAACTGGTACAAATATCTGATACAGTTTAAAGTAACAGGAAAGAGCAGACACACACACACACTTGGTTTACAGGTGTGAGAGAATCGATGGAGAGGTTTAATAATCTTACCTGAGAGAAACGTGCAGCCAGAGGATCTGTAACTAAAGAGCCGGCTTTACTGTCACTCCTGTGAACGTCCCAGCGCAGCTGCTTTAATCAGGCTGCAGAGAAATGTATATTTGAGAAAGGTGTGTGTGCATGGTTACACATTTATTAAAAGATCCTGGTTTTTTGGGTGTGGGACCATGAGCCAGTGTCGGCTTGTGGGTGTGAGTCACGGAATCCCATGTCCTGGACCAACAGGAGGAGTGTGTGTGGAGGTAAACAGACTCCAGGATCCCGCTGTGTGACTACTAGATAAACATGATGCTGTCACGTTAGAATACACAAACAGACGCTAAGAGACTGTTGGGAGGTAGTTTAGGCAAAGATGTTCAGGGGGAAAAAAAGACACAAAAATATATGAAAAAAGACACAAAAATATATGAAAAAAGACACAAAAATATGTGAAAAAAAGAAACAAAAATATATGAAAAAAGACACAAAAATATATGAAAAAAGACACAAAATATATGAAAAAAGACACAAAAATATATGAAAAAAAGACACAAAAATATATGAAAAAAAGACACAAAAATATATGAAAAAAGACACAAAAATGTATTTAAAAAAGACACAAAATATATGAAAAAAAGACACAAAATATGTGGAAAAAAAGACACAAAAATATGTAAAAAAAAAGACAAAAATATATGAAAAAAAGACACAAATATATGTGAAAAAAAGACACAAAAATATGTGAAAAAAAGACACAAAAATATATGAAAAAAAGACAACAAAATATATGAAAAAAAGACAACAAATTATATGTGAAAAAAGACACAAAAATATATGAAAAAAGACACAAAAATATGTGAAAAAAAGACACAAAAATATGTGAAAAAAAGACACAAAAATATATGAAAAAAAGACAACAAAATATATGAAAAAAAGACACAAAAATATATGTGAAAAAAGACACAAAAATATATGAAAAAAAGACACAAAAATATACGAAAAAAAGACACAAAATATATGAAAAAAGACACAAAAATATATGAAAAAGACAAAAATATGTGAAAAAAGACACAAAAATATATGAAAAAAAGACAGAAAATATGTGAAAAAAAGACACAAAAATATATATAAAAAAAAAGCTCATTTTCTCAAAGAGGCGTGTGTGTGTGTGTGTGTGTGTGTGTGTGTGTGTGTGTGTGTGTGTGTGTGTGTGTGTGTGTGTGTGTGTGTGTGTTAGACTCCTTTATCCACAGCTGTGTGTGTTTTTGTGACAGAGGAGAGTCGGTGACTTTAACTGGGATTTAACACAAAAACAGAATTTTGGATCATTTATTATTATGCAGTAAAAATGCTTTGAAAAGGTTCATCGATGAAACAAACTGTCGAAGAGAAACTCAGTGTTTGGGTGAAATGCTGATATTAATGATCTACAACAATATAATAAAAAACATTATAATGAAATAAAGTGAAGGAGGACAGACGCTAAATTTTAACTGTTAGTTTATGTTGAACACATTACTGACAGATTTTATTAAACCTGAGTGTCTTTAAAAGAATAAAAAAGGCTCTGTACCTCCGGCCGTCTAATTTAGGTAAAAATCTGAAACCTGATAACCTGTGTGTGTGTGTGTGTGTGTGTGTGTGTGTGTGTGTGTGTGTGTGTGTGTGTGTGTGTGTGTGTGTGTGTGTGTTTCTCAGAGGACCTCTGCTGGCCTCCTCTCAATCACTTATGAAACCGTTCCAATAAGGAAGAGCTGCTGTTCGCCGACACAACAGAGCAGCTGCAGGGTCTTTGTTTTCGTCCAACCGTTCAGATCATTTTACTGCCATGAATGAGGAATCCTGCTGTCAAACAGTCATACAAAGATTCATACGTTCATGTGATTTTAATATTTGGTGTTATTTCAGGTGAACCTGTTCTTGATGTTCTCTCAACATGAGCAGCTCTTTCTGATGACAACAGTCAACCAAAAAATAAAAGAAACAAACGCAATCTTGTACTTTTGTTTATTGGAAAAAAGAAAACAGTCTGACAAGAACAATGAAACACACTCTAAAGCCTGACAGAGAGATTTTCATCTTCCCATGTACGCTCACTAAAAACCTCAGAATATTCCTGAAGACAAAACAAAAGACGCCCTGCTCTCTAATCCTCAGGTAGAGGAAGTGCTGCTGCACCTCGGAGGACGACAGACGCCTGAATGAGCGAATCTGATAATTTCCTCTGAAAGGAAAAAGGAAAAACAAACAGTCTCTAGTTTGGAAGAAAAAGCCTTTATTTCCTATTTCAGAAACATGCTTTGGCATGGTAGGAGAAGTAGGTACTTAGTTTCCATACAAGCAGAGCCACAGCGTGATAGAAAGAGTTTGTCCGTCTACTGTTTCTGTGACAGTGGTCTGTCCGGGTTCGAGGTGAGGAGGAGGAGGAGGAGGAGGAGGAGGAGGAGGAGGAGGAGGAGGAGGAGGAGGAGGAGAGGAGGTGTCTGATCAGACAGAAGGCTTAGTGCTGGATCCTACGAATGGACTGCACCTGGTTAGTGTGAGCCTGGGTGCTGAACTCGTTGTAGTTTCTGTACTCGCCTTGGTGTCTGTCTCTTTCCAGAATGTACTGGTAACCACGGTAACCAGGGAACTGGTAGGCCACCCAGCTGTAGAGAGGGAGGATGGGGGTGGGGGTTCAGGATCAGATCAGATAATAAGCAAACGGCTTTATTTGTTTTCATGTCAGCTGGTCCAGTGAAGCTCTGTGGATGTTTCTCAGATGGACTCAGATATTTTTATTATATTTATATTATATTATATTTATATTCTCCGTATATTAAGGAGAACAGGGAGGCAGAGATGGGAGAACTAAAATGTGACTTACGCTCCTGAGTTGACTTTGATAGAGGGAACCTCCTTGCTGCACCAGCCCATGGCCTGTAGGGAGGGGTAGTCATCGCAGACCTCAAATTTACGGCCCTGGAAGTCCTCACACTCGTACAGGGTCACCTTACTGTCGCTGTGGTTCTGCAGCGACAACAAAGAGTCAAAGACGGACTCACAGTCATGAAATAACCGAGTATGCTGACATGTTTCAGGCTCCCAGAGTCCAGATCAGATCAGAGAAAAGACTAAGAGGTTCAGGGATATTTTAACGGAGAAAAAGGAGAAAGTGAAGGATGTTCAAACTTACAGCACATTTAATGGGTCTGAAGGAGAGCAGGTGTTCGGTTCTGTAACTGCTGTTTCCACTCCAGGCTTCGTAGCGAGGGTAGTCCCCCTTCTCCAGAATAAACTGCTGTCCCTGGAACTCTGGGTACTCGTAACCCACCCAGCTGGTCGGAGGTGGAGGAAGGAGAAAAGAGGAAAAGAGGGGAAATTTTAGAGCTGAATGACCCAATAAGAAGTCTGGAAACGGGAAAATTTCTGAGGACACTGAGAATAAATGTGAAAAAACACCAAAATGTTCATTTTTGTCCACAGAGCGCCACAGAAAAAGCTTCTTTTGTCTCTGCGATGACAGAACAAACATGAAATCCACCCGCCTCCACCCGCCTCCACCCGCCGCTCTTTATCTGATCAGCAGTCAGTCAGTCAGCCATCCAGGCTCACAGCCAGCTGCTGCACACGGCCACATCATATTGAGAGTGGGTTACACTTGGATGCATGCACAAATGAATGCAAACAATACATGGCGTGTAATAACGCCGTAACAGCGTTGGCGCTCATTTCTGATTGGTTATTGGTTACAGTCTGTGGTCAGGTCCGGGGAGCTCGGATCAGACCAGGAGGATCATTGATAAGAATGTTTCTGACTGAATTTATACAAAATCATGAGTTTCCAGTTTTGTTGTTTTTGAGCCGTTATTCTGAAAAACCCTGAGTGAAGCTTTAATCTGAAGGTCTCAGGACTACAGTTAATCTCCCACAGAAACACACGGACAAGCACAGACTGTAATCCAGAACAAGAGACTCTGAGGAGGTCGAGCAGGTTTCATGGTGTCTGAAAGTCAGATGGAGACAGATGAGAGACAGGAGACGGAGGACACTAACAATGTGGACTTACGGTCCATTCTCAACCTTGATGGAGCGGATCTTCTTGAAGCCCCTCTCCATGATGTTCTGGCACTCAAGCATGAACTCACAGCGCTTTCCCTGGAAGTTCTCCTCCTCCCACACCGTGATCTTGAACTGGCCCATCTGCTCCATCTGTTGAGTGTTCATGGCTGCTGCTGCTTCTCCCGAACGGGGTTACTCCCTGATGGAGGTAGAGATCAGTCATAAAAGTACCAAAGTCACACACAACAAGACCCATCCGTCCCAGGTACCTATGACCTCCTCAGACCTTAGACAGACGTCTTCAGACAAAATCAATCAATCACAGAGTAACAACGATTTTTAATATTAGCCGCTTAATAAGTTAAAAATGAAAATGAAAACCAAGTGCCTCTTTGACTGATGAACCATGAGAGCTGCTTCACTGGACAGATGTCTTTTGGGTCACTTTCCAAAGGTGGAGGTGAAAGCCTCCTCCACCTGTGTATCATCATCATCATCATCATCATCATCATCCAGGTATAAACTAAGAAACCCTAAAAGCAGCAGCGGCGGCGGTATGTTCCTGTTTCTTCACTGAGTTTTAAATGAAAGTTGACCCTCTGCTCTCTCCCTCACATCCAGACTCAGATTATTGTCCCGCTCCACCCCAGGACACCTATCTGTCCCACTCCACCCCAGGACACCTATCTGTCCCGCTCCACCCCAGGACACCTATCTGTCCCCTTGTTGCAGCAGCTGAGCTGAGGTGGTGTGTTGAATACTCACAGACGTACTGAGGTGGGACAGATCCAGTATAATCAATGTCGAGGAAGAGCCCCTCGTCTGCGTTTTTATAGGGCCGGCCCCCCTCGACCTGCGCCGTGCCATTTGCCTAGCAGCCTTGCACACTCAGCAGCTGAGCGGGGCGGCTGAAAGAGGGGCTTTAGCCTGGCGCTTTGTGGAGGCTCCAAAGCGCCATTGTCCTCAGAGCCCCAAACTGACTTAGTCATCAACATGGCAGCCATGGTCACAGGCAACCTGACCCAGGGCCAAACAATGGTAACACACTGACACAACAGTTTGATTGGGCTGGCAGGATAATAGACACATTCTGGGAGCTGATCCTCCACCCACCACCACCACCTCCACCACCTCCACCCCCTCTCTGCTGGAGGTAAACTGGAGCTGAAACTGGAGGTGGGAAAAGACCTTAAGGCGTTCAGATCATGAGTACAGGAGGATGGGAGTGTTTCATGTCGAGTATCTGTTACTGCTTTATAATCAGATTTATAACGTGGTGTTTTTAATAATAATGTTTATAACAGGATTATTAACATGGTGGTTTAATAATAATGTTTATAACAGGATTATTAACATGATGGTTTAATAATAATGTTTATAACAGGATCAATAACATGATGGTTTAATAATAATGTTTATAACAGGATTATTAACATGATGGTTTAATAATAATGTTTATAACAGGATCAATAACATGATGGTTTAATAATAATGTTTATAACAGGATTATTAACATGATGGTTTAATAATAATGTTTATAACAGGATCAATAACATGATGGTTTAATAATAATGTTTATAACAGGATTATTAACATGATGGTTTAATAATAATGTTTATAACAGGATCAATAACATGATGGTTTAATAATAATGTTTATAACAGGATTATTAACATAGTGGTTTAATAATAATGTTTATAACAGGATTAATAACGTGGTGGTTTAATAATAATGTTTATAATAGGATTTATAGCGTGGTGGTTTAATAATAATGTTTATAATAAATAGGCAGCTGTTTTCAATGACGGCTGATGGTCTCCATCTCCTGTAGACACCCACACTTAGAAGCTCAGGCATCAGTTTGGTCATAATAATGAGGAGAAAAGTCTTTTTTATAAATGTTTTCTACTGAAGACTCAGCAGTAAGAAGTTTCAACCCAAAAATGATCATTTAGAGAAATCAGACGTGTTCTCATCAGAGTGAGGGGAGAGTCAGTCATCTCTTCATCAGCAGGTCAGGGGTTCAGACAGGCAGGTGGTGAAGTTTAGGGGGTGGAGGTTAGGAGTTGGGTTTGCTGGAGAGGTAGAGGTAGATGATGAAAATGAGGGGCCCCGGGACAGAGCCCTGGGGCCCATCAAGCTGACATGTGGAGGACTTGGATTTGTGGATGAGGGCTGAGAGTGTGGGGTGGTGGGGTAGGTTCAGAGGAGGGGACAGGTGACAGATTAAAGTCTAAATGTTGGTGGATTTAGATTTTTGATTGTTATTGGAAAAGAGTCGAAGGCAGTGACAGATATCGGTGGAGTATGGATGGGCGGTAGGTCGTCCAGGGGTTGGAGGAGTTTGGAAACAAAGTGAGAACAGAGTCTTGGTGTTTCCGTCATTTGAACTGATTAGAGTCGTAGTTTGATTTTGTTTGAGAAATGGAGTCATCGAGGAGAAAACTAGTGACAGAGAGAAACACAGTCCAGTTCCCATTAAATACGGGGACAGACAGAGAAACCATCTGAAAGGGTTATTCCAAACAACAATGATCTCCTGTAACTGGAATGACTTCAGTCTTTCTGGTTGGTTTGATTTTAAACAGAAATTTTACATTAAACACTTTTAATTTGACCAACTCCAAAAGTTCTGTTAGTAACATCTTTTCCACTATTGAAGGTATTTCTGAGTTCTGTCTTACCGCCTGCTGACCAAACTGGAAGGCTGCCTCACCTCCATCTTTTTCCTCGCTTGACCAAAAGTTGACTCAGTATGTTCTCGATGGTGCCAATGCAATTGTTGGACCTTTCAGCATTGCTTCAGTTCCATCACTGATACCAGATCCATCTGTCATGAAGTCAGTGGTTGTTTTTTTTATAAATCTGATGCCCGGTTCGTTACAGATATAAATCACAGTCCCAAATTCTCCTTCTTATTGTCTCCTGTCTTTATATGATGTAAAACAACATTTATGACAATTAAAATAATAAAATTTGTCTCATTTATAAAATACAACTGTGAAAAAAATCCAAACAAAGACACTGAAAACATCCGGACTGAGCCGCACGTCATTTAACCTCATGGATTCAGTCCACAGTGACCTTTCCAAGATGTCCTCTACATTCCTTTTTCTCCAGTGACATCTAGTGGCAGAAGTTTTTATTACATCAAGGTTTTCAAACTCGACAGTTAGCCTCTTGTTTATCCTGCTTTAACAGTTTTTTAATGTTAAGAGTTTCGATCAAGAATAAACTCATCAGGACTTTAAAGATGTTCAGAGAGAGCGTGTTTGTGTGTTTACATGAATAAACTGATTTTTCAACGTCTTCATTGAGTCCACTTATTGTTCTTCACTCTACAAGTGTGTTTGTGTGACACACACACACACACACACACACACACACACACACACACACACACACACACACACACACACACACACAGCAGGTGATTTGGATAGACACAGGGACACACACACACACACACACACACACACACTCATTTCCCTGTTAAATCGGGGATTTGCATGTGTGACAGGAACAATGTCGTTCAGCTCACAGCTCTTACAGTTCTCTTTTGAAGGCTCATCGTTCTTTGTTGGTAACTTCACACATTTGTTTTATACGACTGAAGAAGAAAGAACCTAATTTTACCTCATGTTGGACAAAGTCTTTCTGCGTTTAGATGATTTAGTCTAAAGTAAATCACATTAACAATGATCTATTCTCTGATGATATCAGTCATACTTTACAATAAGGCGTCATGTTTGTACTCAGATGATGTTGGATAATGTGTAGGACTTTTTTTCCAATAAAATTAAAGATAAATCGATACAGATTAGGGATTACGTTTAGGGGAATATTTCTGTGTCCATGTTCATTCATCAGCTCTCATCAGTATCTGTTTAAGACATATACTCTCACAGTTTTACACAATAAACTCAGATTAAGATTAGGTTTTAATTTAGTGTGTAGGCAGTTTAAACCTACATCTGGATATAGTGAAGTCCAGACTTCTCTTTTAAAGGTTGATACCAAAACTGCTGCAGAGAGAATTTTGTTTTCTGGGTCAGTGAGAGTTGGAACTTTGTATTTGAACAGTCAGTGAATGCATCTGCACACTCACACATACAGTATATACACACAAACTTGTTTGCATGGAAGCACACACACAAACATGTGACTATTTTTTACTTGACACACATAAAGGTACACAGTGACACACAGACTGCACTGAATAAATGACCCTCCTTCAGGTGGAAGGTTACCATGGAGACTAATCCAGGTATGGGTGATGTGAGCAGGACATCTGCTCGACCCCGCTGATCTCTGCATGGACAAACAAGCAGCTGGATGGACATGCAGGAAAACCACTGAAGAATACTCTGATCATTACATGTTGGTGTTGACATAAACACATTCAAACACTATTACAGCGTGACGATGACAATGATGATGACAGACACACAGACTCATTTTTCACAGGAACATTTTTCCTGCTTTTATTTAACTTTCAAACGTTTTTATTTTAGTTCTTCTTCCAAAAAGCGTCTCTGACTTTTGTTTCTATCTTCAAATGTTTGAATCATACGGTTAATCTAAAATGATCTCCCCTCATTGGCTGTTATTCATTCATTCATTCATTCATTCATTCACCCTGACTTAAAACTCTCATCCAGTTAAATTTCTTAAACCACCAGAACACAGAGAGCAGAGGTGAGGATTAGGCAGCCAAGGGGAGGACCAGCCTCCAGTATTTGCATGTTTCTTCATTATCGGTAACTGACAGAGGAAGAGCAGAGGAAGCAGCAGCAGCAGCAGCAGCAGCACACATCCTACAGGCATACACACACAAACACACACACACACACACACACACTTGTTTCACCATCATTTACTAAGAGTATCTAAGTAGTTTAACGATCACTAATAATCTCATCATGTCCTTCTCTGCAGATACACATAAACAAACTCTCTTATTAGCAGTGGTGGACCTACAGGGTTCAGGGGGTCAACTCCAGGGCAGTGGGGGTCCTGAAATAAAAGGAGGCACGACTGAGAGTCTTAATGTTTCAATAAATCTGAGTTAGTTTCATTAGGGAGATTAAAAAAGGATAGTACTAACAGGAGTTTAAACATTTATGGTCTTAAACCAAGAAGTGAAGGAGGAGCACTTCCTGGATCAGTCGACACGGACAGACAAATGTTAACGTTGTGCTTTTTTCATTGGATTATGAAGGAAAAGATCCATCAGGACAAACACATATGAACATCAACATATATGTTAAAAACGTACATGTTGATGTCTGGAAGCTAACTTCCCCGACCTTAACGATCATGTGTGTGTCGACTCTGTGTGTCCATACAGCTGATTAAAACCTGAATTCACAAGAACGTTAGAGCAGCAGTAAAACGAAGAGAACCTGATTTTTTAACTTCATCTTCAGATAAAGACTTCATCTTCATCATCATCATCTTCATCATCATCATCATCATCATCATCATCATCATCATCATCATCATCATCATCATCCTCAGTGTAAATGTGATCCCCCCGCCTTCTTCTAACATCTTTATGTTGCACTGAATGTCTCTTTAACAATATATATCTTAAATTCTCACACTGTGTGTGTGTGTGTGTGTGTGTGTGTGTGTATGTGTGTCTGTCTGTCTGTGTGTGTGTGTGTGTGTGTGTGTGTGTGTGTGTGTGTGTGTGTGTGTGTGTGTGTGTGTGTGTGAGGTTGGAGTTTAGTTGGTGTTAATTGTTGTTTTTCGCCTCTGTGAGGAACTTTGAACTGCGTTTGTCTGAAAATATAAAATTGCTCAGACAGATTGTTCACAAAGTTTGAGGAACCAAAAATGAGATTTCTCCACATTGAATTTAATGTTTTTTTTGTTTGAATCAGACTGAAGCAGCTGGTTATCTTCCACACTGAATACTTTAGTGCTAAAGGGTGTAGAAAGGGTGTAGAAAGGGTGTAGCAGCAGCAGCAGCAGCAGCAGGACCAGTTGGAACAGTCAGTTTGAATTGGGACAAGGTAACCAGGATACTGAGGAGTGTAAGCTTTCCCTTCATCTGGCTTTAAACAAATATTGACTCGAGCTTTGAGGCAAATAGGCTTTCAGGTAAAGAGTGACATGTAGGAAGGACTCTCCCACTCATGACGGTGCCTCTTAAAGGTGATGACACCCACACAGGACATGTACTGGGGATTAACTGGAGTAAAGAGAGCCCCCCCAGACTATGAGAAGATAAAACAGCAGGCTTCAGCTTCATTACTGCTGATCATGGGTTTATTTTCATCACAAACGGATCCAAACTGCCTGTAACTTCATTCAAATATAAGAAACGATACTGAACAGACGGTTCAGACTCGGGTCTGACTCAGTGTTTGTTTTCTAAGAAAATGAAAATACCAAAGTTTATTAGGGCTGCTGTGTGATAAAGTTCCTCATATGAGCTGAGACAGTTTACTTCTTAGAACTGCAGGATATAATATTGTGTCTTCATCACCTGAATAAACCCCCTGAACCTCAGGAACAATGAAAACAGAGCGGTTCACTTCTCTTTATTCTGTTTTGGAGCATCCATAGAACAGATGGCTCATATCAGATGTCTGCTGAGTGTGGTTAATGTTTAGTTAATGATTAACATATCCTTCCATTAAGCCTATCTGTGTGCTCCCTGCTGCCAGCCTGAGGCTTCAGGTCATGACGTAGGAGACGGACAGTTATGAATAGACCCCCCAGTGGAAAAAACACGCTGTCATCATGAACGGGCCATCCGGAAAATGATTATCAAATAAGAGCCAAACGATGAGATTATCAGTCCTATCACTGTAAATGTCAACGTTTGGAGATATGATTCGCTGCAGGGGATGTTCAGACAGAAGGGTCTGTTTACTGATAAACAGGTAAACAGTTAAAGAGCAGCGCTCTGACACAGGTCAAACACTCTCATCTGTAGCTCTGTTACAGGTCAAACACTCTCATCTGTAGCTCTGTTCTTTTTTACTCCATCATTCAGTCCCAGCAGGTAAAGTTCATCATAATCATGTGTGCGACATCTGGATTCATGACCTGGTTTTTATATTTTTCTCATACAAGAAAACATTCAAACTGAGGGTTCATCTGTTCATCTATTCATCTATTCATCTGTTCACCTGTTCATCTGTTCATCTGTTCATCTATTCATCTGTTCATCTATTCATCTGTTCACCTGTTCATCTGTTCATCTGTTCACCTGTTCATCTGTAAATCTAAGAGATTCCTGCGTTCCTGTTTCTGCCTGTTGGGACCATTTCAGTCAAATTAACATGTTTTTAATAACATAATTTTTTTCCTCTAATATCATAAAAAATTTCATCTTTCAGGTAAATGAAAATATTTGTCAGCGAACATGGAGTCAAAGGCTGACATGACTGTCGTTAGGATATAACCTGCAGCAGCAGCTGTATGCAAATCAGGTCCTACAGTCAGGAAGCCTCTCTCTCTCTCTCTCTCTCTCTCTCTCTCTCTCTCTCTCTCTCTCTCTCTCTCTCTCTCTCTCTCTCTCTCTCTCTCTCTCTCTCTCTCTCTCTCTCTCTCTCTCTCTCTCTCTCTCTCTCTCTCTCTCTCTCTCTCTCTCTCTCTCTCTCTCTCTCTCTCTCTCTCTCTCTCTCTGTCTCTCTCTCTCTCTCTCTCTCTCTCTCTCTCTCTCTCTCTCTCCCTCTCCCTCTCTCTCTCTCCCTCTCTCTCTCTCTCTCTCTCTCTCTCTCTCCACCTGCTGCTTCTGAAACTCTCTGGAGTCTTTATGGAGAACTTTGTCACATCTGGGGTATTTTTGTGGTTCCTTCGGTCCTTCATCATGTAACAAATGAACACATGAATAAAACCCTGAACTGATGAGGGACTTTGTCAACTATGAGCTGCAGCAGGATTCTCCTCATTGTCCTTTTCCAGCTGTCAACCCGTACCTGCATAACGCGAGCCGAACGAACAAAACTTCATCTTCAGGTATTGTGCGTGAGGCTCAACGTGAAGCAAATACAGACGTGAAAGAGGCTGAAAGGAGAGACGGAGAAGATCCGGGACCAGCTGGACCCTCAGGTCACCTGGGAGAGAAGAGTTAAAGAGGGTTAAACACCAAAACATCGGAGCGGATTAAAGATCATTAAAGACCAAAACCTTCACAAACCTACCTGTCTGAGAGGCCGAATGCGCATGCGTGATGCTTGGGACGCTTTGACTCACCGTTTACGCACACTGACTGTGTGCTGTTTGTGACACAGGTGTACCTTTTATACTCTACACCCCCCCTACACACACACACACACACACACACACACACACACACACACACACACACACACACACACACACACACACACACACACTCCTCCCCTCGTGTCTCTCTGTCCACGCCTCATGGATGAAAAACTCAGCGAGGATCCTCAGGGCGCGCACAGACACCTGTCGCACGGTGCGTTGATCTGATCCAATATTGACATAAAGGGGGAGGGGAGTGTGTTCTGGACACACACACACACACATGAATAATTACCCCCCCCTCGCGTTGTAACGTTGCTACCTGCCGACTCACTCCCCTCCCCCCTCCTCCCATTCAGCCTGTTTGGGCGTCATTCGTCATTTCCATAAACATCTGCCTTGCAAATAACTTGTGCTGCTGCTGCTGCTGCTGCTCTCCGAACCACAACTTTAGGAGGAAGCTTGTTGGAGAACCTGCCAGGAGTTAAAAATGACTGTTCAGGGTCCCAGGTCCCAGTCCAGCAGGGTCCCAGTCCAGCATGAGACCCTGAAACCAAAGTGCTGATGTCCCTGAATAACCGTCTGTTCATCATCCTGCAGAAAGCCAAAGACAGAATCTGAGGGGGACATGTTTGAAGCCGGTGAAGGGGTCCAGAGCTCGGTCTTCTTTGTTTGTTTGTTTGTCTTAAAGCTCCTGTGAGTGTTTTTTAGAGGCAAAAACACTGATATACATATATATATATATATATATATATATATATATATATATATATATATATATATATAAACCAAACCCAGTCCCCACCACAGCCTGACACCTCCTCATGCTCGTCTCCAACCTTGGTCACACTGTTGTGTTGGTCATTAAAAGTGTTAATTCCACAGTGGGGTCGTCTCTGATCACCCTTCCTGTGGGGGCAGCCGTTGTTACCTTAGAGGCTCGAGTCCCGGACTGTAAAGATATGAGACCATCACTGGTCACTGAAAAACCTGGTCTTCATATCTCTCTGATTTCCTCCAATGATGTCTTGTCGCTCAACACCGTCTCACTGCCTCAAACTGAAGATTCTCCTTTATTCTCTGAGTCTTCACAACATTTTGACCCTTCGATCCAACTGTAGGATCTGGACTCAGAACTGAACACATGTTCCTCCACAGTGAAAACAGGCCTGACAGTGAAGGGCAGTCATGACAGGCCGACCCTGTGGGTGTGGAGATCGTCTGCCGTCTGTTCCAGTTCGGCTGATTCTGTCGGAGTGAGCGGACAGTTCCTAAGAGCTGACAGGATAAAGGAAACTCTCTCTTACATGAACCTCGTCTTCAGTTTGGAAACGGTCCGAGGACTCGCTCCAAAAAATGCTGCAACTTGATTTTGTGGAACAGCAGCTCCTGACCGTCGGCTCCTGGGGGTTAAAACACATTTTAGCAGCAAAATAAAAGGTTGACTGTTGGCAGAGAAGATTTGGTGAAATTTTCACATGTGATACCCAGACTCAGCTCCGTCACTCCGCCCACAAACGCGCGTTTCTGACTAATGTGTTCATATTTGAGTGAAATAAACAGGATTTCCAACAGGATCAGATTTTTAGCCAAGAAGCAACAGAAACAATCTTCCAAACACCCGTTTCTTCACTTTTTTCTGCTGCGCTGACATGAAACATGATTATAAAGTCCTGCGATGAACGGGCGACTCGTCCAGGGCGTCTCCTGTCCTCCTGAGATTTCAGGACAGACTCTTTCTGCACTTCAGATTCTTAATGAGTGAAATATTTGATCATTTTCAGAAAACAAAATCAGACTAAACTTTACCAGCAGGGAGCGCTGTACCTGACACCAACAAAAGCTGCTCACAGGAGCTTTAAAGAGTCTAACAGCACTGTTGGGGTCAGGGGTCAGGGGTCACCCACCCGTGAAAGTAGTTTGTCTTTGTGGCTGTTCAGATTATTCGAGTGTGAACGACCTTCAACAAAAGTTCAGGGTCATAATGGAATAAGAGAAAAAGGAAAAAGGTTTGATTCATGTGAACCGGCTGTTCGTTTCTGTCGGTCTGAAGTTCAACTTTAGGGGAAAAAAAACATAAATCCATCAGAGATTTTTTTAAAAAGATTTATTGAAGGATTTGTTCTCGTGACTAAAAAGACAAAATGTTTCTTTTATTGCTCATAGATGAAAAATACATGGATGTATAACCAGCAAGAGAACCCAAACCCAGAGAACCCTCAATATTACTGACCCGGGACAGACGGATGATCTCTGACTAAACTGTCCTTAAACAAACTCAGTCATTCTGCTGAAATCCAGTAAACACCATCACTCTGTGTTCACACGTCCGTTTAAAGCTTCTAAAGATAGTTTATTATTCTTCACTAATTTGGACAATATTAGGAACACAGTCGTAAACTAAAATAATCACCAAACCAGCAGCAGTTTTCTCCAAAAGTTACTGCAAACAATCAGACAAATAAAAAAGGCATCAGATATTTTTGGACCCAAAAGTTCCTGAAATTATAAACAAAAGGCAAAGAAATGAGTTTTTTTTTTATCTACACAAGAAGCACCAACCTTGGAAACTCATGACACCTTAAACCATTAAACCTCAGCTCCCATTTCATACAAAACAACAACATTATCATTATTATTATTATTATTATTGTCAAACTCGACATGGTTTAATCTGGACACTCAGAACAGAACAACCACAGCAGCTGCTCTTTCAGGTCGACTCGTGTTGGAGGGAATCAGAAGATCATAGCAGCTGAAGAACACAGAGAGACACGAGGTAAACGGAGCAGCTTCTCATCCTAAGACTTTACAAACATCATCCAACTGTGGGTTAGTGTGCAGGTAACAGGTGTGCTGACTGCTGTGGCAGTGGGCCGTCTACATTTGTATAACTAAAATGAACCCGTCAGTGTAACGGCATGGAAATGATTGACAGTAGATCAGCTGGACTCCCTATTGGCTGATTTTGCCAAGTCTCTTAGTGTAACCCTCCCAGCCTGACTTCCTGTATGACTCAGCAGCCTCCAGCCTATCAGAAGCCTCCAAGATTCCTCGGCCAACAATGATGACGTCGGAGTTTTTGTTGTAGAGGACGTCCTCTGGAGTGGTGTACTGCTGTCCCAACACATCACCTGCAGGAGAGGAAGAAACAGACGAGGAGGAGGTCAGCTGAAACGCAGGAAAACAACTCAAAGCAGGTTTTTGGTTCAACAGCGCCTCCATGTGTCAGAGAGGAGAAGAAGAAGGTTTTTTTTTTTTTTTCTGTCACAGAGCTGTAAAGTCCTCATGAAGACTGAATCCTGATACTGGAGCTTTTCTCACATCATTATTAACATTCAGTCGTCTGTGTTCATCATCGTCACAGCAGCAGTTTCCTTTGATCACATTCAGATGATTTTCCACTTTCTTGAACTCAACAGAGTTTCAAAACATTTCATAGTTTGTAAAGAACTAAAAATGGTCATTGGTTGAATTAGCAGCATTAGGATATTTATTTAAAAACATCTAAACAGGTCAGTTTTAACACAGGACCCTCATTCGACAGCAGCTTCAGAATTCTGACATTTATTGAGTTTTTGGGAAAGTTTCTGTTTGGTTTTGTTTGCAGGACGTCAGAATCTCCTCCCAGAGCTGCTGTTTGGATGTGACCTGCCCCCCACCCTCAAAGATCTTTAGCTTGAAGACCCTCCAAAGGTTCTCAGTAGGATGGATCTCTTCAAAGATTCACTTCTTCTTCTTTTTCTGCGTTTGTTTATCTGAGGGGGACGGGGGGGCTTTCTGTCCGACAGGACAGACACAGAAATACATGAGAGGACAAGTCTGAGCACCTTTAACCAACACCCTTTCATAATCACCTTTTGTTAACAACCTTTGTGTGCGAGAAAATTAACCGAACATGATTGTTAGTCAAAGCAGAAGACAGAGACGTGTACCTCCAGCCTGAATCTGCACTCCCGGGGTCATGTGGATGAACTCTGGCCTCTTCGAGATCCTGGATCCACAGATAAACCCGATCACAAAGTCTGTGTTCTCCTCCGCCATCTTCAGCTGTGAGCAAAGATAACAGTGAGAAACCACAGCAACATGGCCGCCTCAGTGTAAACACACACAGGTTTAACATGCTCACCACAGCCTGAGTGTACTCTCCTGTCGCCAGTGAACCCTGAGAGCTCATCTGTCCGATGAGCAAACAGCCCCGGCCCAGAGGTTTCCCTACGGCGCTCAGACCCTTCACCACCCCCGGCCCTGGGACTGCATGAGCGTTCACGATGTGAGACCAAGATGAGATCTGGTACAATCCTCCTGAGAACCAAACACATGAACACAAGACTGAGCTACGTCCAATAAAACTGGTTCATGTGCAGATTTTAACTAAACCTCGTTACCTTCATACTGACGCTTCACCGTGTTCCCGATGTCGGCAAACTTCCGATCTTCAAAGATGAGGAAGTTGTGTTTCTCGGCTAAAGCCTGCAGTTTCTGGTTGAAGGTCACGGTGTAGTCCTGTGAGCGTAAACCAAAGTAGGAGATTTTTAGATTCAACTTTATTTTTATGGAGTTTAGAGTTCCTGACAGAGGCTAAAAACGACAATAACGACAATAAAACACGACACACACACACACACACACACACACACACACACACACACACACACACACACACACACACACACACACACACACACACAGTGTGAGAATTTCAGATATGTTGTTAGAGAGACATGACCTGACACCGATGAAACTTTAATGAGTCAGTCTCTAAAAATAATATTAAATAAACAGATAAATAAAAGCTCTTTATAATATAAAAAAGAAGTAAAAACCTTTATGACAGGAACTAAGAAAAAGACTAAGAACAGAGATAATGAATAAAATGACATGAAATAAACATGAAGAACTTTGATTAAAATGAACAATAACAGAAATATAAAAAGTCAGTCAGTAAAACGTCGGTTAAAAAGGAGAGTCTGGAGCTTCTTCTCAAACTCAACAGAGTTTCTAAAGACGGACAGCTTCACACCAACCTTTAAAATGTCTACATGGGTCTTGAGCATGCACATTTTTGGACCTAGACTGTCTGCCAGCTGAAGGAGCTCCTCACTGCTCGTCACGTCCGCAGACACACAGAGATTGGACTGTTTCTCCTCCATGATCTTCAAAAGTTTGGAGGCTAAAGGGTGAACATCTGCAGATAAGACGGACATCACAGAGACATAAACAAGGAGGAGGATATAAAGGCTGAATTGTGTGATTTCAGTATGAATGAAAAAGTAAACTGATGTCCCAAGAACAAAGTGAATAAAACTTTGTCTATATGGGGCGTAGACCCCGACGACATACTTGGTAGTTTGGCTCGGTCTCCGTAGCTCAGTTCTCTCGTCTGTTTCAGACTCGGCGTCTTAGTGACAGGAACTCCGTTACAGTTTTCCTCTTTGGGGCTGAAAAAGTCGAAAAAGATGCTACAGAGCTGCTACTTCAGTCAAACAGACAGAATTTAGTTTGACACAGTGACTTCAGAACCGTACCTGAAAGTGTTATTGTCCAGAATAAAGTTGCGGACACTCTGGGCGGTTTGCGTGTCGATGCGGTTCGCTGCCTGCAGCACATTGAGCAGCTTGAACATGGAAATGATTGGATGGAGTTTGATTCCCTGAGCAGCCAGCATCTCTACACCACCTTGTTCTCTATCCATGAGGACAATAGCATCTGTCACCTGGAGGAAATCACAAACACACACTTAGTATCATGGAAATAAAAGCATTCATGCCATATTACTACAACCTCAGTTTAAAACAGACGGGACACTGTGTAGACTGTTGACCTTTAACCCTTTAAACTCCTCATGTGACTGAAGCGAGAGCGAACAACACGTAAAATGTTGAAAACTGAGAAACTTTCGTTTTTTCATGAAAAATACATCGAAGAAAAGTGTTAAAAATAAAGTCGCTGCAAACAGAGTTTAATTAATATCAGTGAAAGACTCAGAGACTCTGTGAGAGAGAGATCCGTGAACAGAAGGAGTAATGTCAAAAAAATCATCCTGGTGGCCCTCAGACAGCCCCGCCTTTAAAAACAGACAACATCATCATCATCACTGACATCATCATCATCATCATCATCACTGACATCATCACCATCATCACTGACATCATCATCATCATCATCATCATCATCATCCTGATCATCATCATCTTCATCATCCCTGACATGACCACCACTGCCCTGTCCATGCGTCTGTGCTGAGACCTGAGACCTCTGGTTTTTCGACCCTCTCTTTTCCTCACCTTCAGTCCACCTGAGTAAAGCACTTCAGCAGTCTCCAGGATGCTGGCCCCGCTGGTCACTGTGTCCTCAATGATGAGACATGTATCTCCTTCACGAAATGAACCCTCAACCAGGCGCTTTGTTCCTAACAGGGTCAGACAAGAAGCTTCGTCAGTCAAAGTTAGAGAAATAACTCTCACTACAACTTCAGGCTTTAACAGAATCGTCTTCCAGAGGGACAAAAGTTTGTAAATCAGCGGTGAACTTTCCAGAAAAGAAAATCAAGCTGTATTTCAAGTTTAGTGTTTCTATTTTAAAACAAACATTAAATAACCAGTTTTTTTTTTTATATCTGTTTCCTAACTTTAGATCAAATTACCAAAAGAGACGCAGACCGGCGCAGACCCAGCTGTCAAGAGTGTTTTCCTCTGAAAAATGTCTCAACATTAACAAACTGACTCAAACTCTTCCAGACACCCACCGTAGTTCTTGGCCTCCTTCCTTCTTATAAGCATCGGCAGATCATTTCTGGAACAGATGATTGTGGCTAAAGGTAGCGCTGTATAAGGAACCCCACACACGTTATCAAACCGCAGCTCCTCTTCCTGCGCACGTTGGTAAATCAGACTGGAAACCTGAACACAAAGAAAAAGGAAAGTCTAAGATGGAAAAAGAGAAAAACTGTCCTGAGGCAGCAGAACCAACGAGGCATCACCTTTTCATGGTACCCATCATCTACAGTTAGAGTTTCATCATTTTCATGTAAAGATTATCAGGGAGACTCGATAAAATCAATATCAATATTTGAAGAAACAATATATGATATCCACATCTTTTTTGTAAAAGTCTATTCATCATTTAAGAGATTTATGACATAAAAAACACTTGTAACACAGTTGATGGGAGTAACACGGTTGACAGGACAGGTGAACCTGCAGCCCTTCTCTCAGGATCAGCATCACGCCGAGCCCTGTAACGGCGCTGCTTCTCAGCAGCAGATAAACCCATCGTCCTAAAACACAAATCATTATGTTTGTCTCTAAATATAAAAATAAAATGTGGCAGTAAACTTCGAACACTGTCAACTGTGTTACAGCTGATGAGTAACACAGTTTAGGGCCTTTTTCTGACTGCAGACCTCAGAACTGTCACTGAAAGATTTTAATCAACTCCTGTTTTTATTTACTTTATCTACATTTTAGTAAATTAAACATTTAAAGCAAGTTCTCATGAATATGTTGACAATCAATTAATCAGCTCTATGTGTTCGCAATGATATTGATAAAATATTGAAGAGGAGAAGTAAAGATTTACCACACTGTGTTTTCAATTTCCATCAAATGATGCTGAACATGTGGCTTAGGAGCGAATTACTGATTTATGGGGCGTTTCACTGGGTAACACCGTTGACCAAAGTTTCTCAGACACACACAAAGTGGGTGATTTAATGAATGAATGAGCAAAATTGATTTTTAAACAACTTTCTCATATTTTAGTAATTAATATTTACAACAATTTTGTACAAAAATATTTAATTTAATGTTAACCTGAAGAGCTAAACCTGATTTTGAACTTCATAAAACCAACAAATTCCAGTAAAATACATGTTTTTAAAAATAAAAAGATGATATCTGTTAAACCTTTTATATTAAATAAAAGAGAAATGTGTCCTGATATAAAATCGATCATTGACTGAAGTTAATATTTGGTCAAATTAAAACAAATTAAAGTCCATGAACCTCTGATTAGAGACTGACTCATTAAAGCTGCTGTGAAGGACAGACCATAATATTATAGATTATTGTTGTTTTTAGGACAGGGGTCCGAACCTCATCCTCAGGGTTACAGTGTCCGGGCTTCTGATTGGCTGACCAAAACACTGACGGACCAATGGACAGAGGAGGAACACGCACGTGCGCAGCAGTCTTACCTCAGCACGAGGCTCCCCTCTCACTTTAGTTTATATATTTTTATATTTAATAAACTTATTCAGTCTGTAGGTGGTGAAGCTTTCACACACAGAAGTTTGTTGTTGTTTTTCCTGTTTGTACAGGTAAAGTAGCGCGTGCTCTCACCTGGTTCATGAGCGCGGGGAAGGACACTAAAACCCTCAGGTCGATGTAAATAGGAGTCATCAAACCGCTCTTCAGCTTATACTCTCCAAACTTCACCGCGTTCACATCATGAAGCTGCAGAATCAGGTCGGTAATCGGGTCGGTGTCCATCTTTAATCTTTAATCTTTACGGTTTTAGCGGCAGAGACGGAAACTGGGTCACACAGATCTACTTCCGGGGAGAGACGGAAACTGCTGCTTCTTCTTTGGTTTTAGGGCGAAAACAACCTGAAGGTGCTTTACCGCCACCTTCTGGACGAGAGTGGGGAACATCATCTACTACGGACTGGGATTCAAGGGTTTAAGGGCTCAGAGGCCGTGTCTCATTTCAGAGACTATATACGGCTGAGTTTAGCTGTGGACTTCAGGACCCTGACTGAGATGGTCCGGCTTTGTGAATGGAGACGGTGTACCCTGCGGAGGACTTCCTGGTTGAGTCAACAAATGACCCCGCCCTCAGACTGACGTCACGACTGACTTGAAGAAAAGCCGCGAAGCGCAGCAGGTTATTTTTTTAATAATGTGAGTTTTAATACAAACAATAAACTAAAGAAACAAACAAAACATAAACTAAACAACAGACACACAACAAAACAAACTAAACAACAGACACACAACAAACTAAACAACAGACACACAACAAAACAAACTAAACAACAGACACAACAAAACAAACTAAACAACAGACACAACAAAACATAAACTAAACAACAGACACACAACAAAACAAACTAAACAACAGACACACAACAAAACATAAACTAAACAACAGACACACAACAAAACAAACTAAACAACAGACGCACAACAAAACATAAACTAAACAACAGACACACAACAAAACATAAACTAAACAACAGACACACAACAAAACAAACAAAACAACAGACGCACAACAAAACATAAACTAAACAACAGACACACAACAAAACATAAACTAAACAACAGACACACAACAAAACAAACTAAACAACAGACACACAACAAAACAAACTAAACAACAGACACACAACAAAACAAACAAAACAACAGACGCACAACAAAACAAACTAAACAACAGACACACAACAAAACAAACTAAACAACAGACACACAACAACAGACACACAACAAACAAACTAAACAACAGATAAACTAAACAACAGACACACAACAAAACAAACTAAACAACAGACACAACAAAACAAACTAAACAACAGACACAACAAAACAAACTAAACAACAGACACACAACAAAACAAACAAAACAACAGACACAACAAAACATAAACTAAACAACAGACACACAACAAAACATAAACTAAACAACAGACGCACAACAAAACAAACTAAACAACAGACACACAACAACAGACACACAACAAAACAAACTTAACAACAGACACAAAACAAACAAAACAACAGACACACAACAACAGACACACAACAAAACAAACTAAACAACAGACACACAACAAAACAAACTAAACAACAGACACACAACAAAACATAAACTAAACAACAGACACACAACAAAACAAACTAAACAACAGACACACAACAAACTAAACAACAGACACACAACAAAACAAACTAAACAACAGACACACAACAAAACATAAACTAAACAACAGACACACAACAAAACAAACTAAACAACAGACACACAACAAACTAAACAACAGACACACAACAAAACAAACTAAACAACAGACACAACAAAACATAAACTAAACAACAGACACACAACAAAACAAACTAAACAACAGACACAACAAAACATAAACTAAACAACAGACACACAACAAAACAAACTAAACAACAGATACACAACAAAACAAACTAAACAACAGACACACAACAAAACAAACAAAACAGACACAACAAAACATAAACTAAACAACAGACACACAACAAAACAAACTAAACAACAGACGCACAACAAAACAAACTAAACAACAGACACACAACAAAACATAAACTAAACAACAGACACACAACAAAACAAACTAAACAATAGACACACAACAACAGATAAACTAAACAACAGACACACAACAACAGACACACAACAAAACAAACTAAACAACAGACACACAACAAACAAGCACACAGGAGTGAATTTATACAACAAACAACAAAGAGGAAAAGACTTTACAGATCAGTTTCACTAAATTCATCCAATGATAGTTTATTATGAAGGAGTGTGAGGGCCACAGTTTAAAGAGATTAAAGTCATTAATTTACGAGATTAAAGTCTTTAAATTATGAGAAAAAGGTTGTCATGTTACCTGTTATTTCAGTGAAGAGTTGTTAAAATTAGGGCCATATGAAGGTGAACTGTGCTTCCTTAAAGGTTTCTGAAAACTAGGAGAAACTTTGACACATTAGCATCACATTTGTCTAAAAGTATAAAGACTTTAAAAAAGAATAAATGAGAAAAACAAACAAAAACAGGTGGACTTGGAGGAAATCGCTGCTTTTGTGGAGGCAGATATTGATCTGCTGAGGATAAATCTGTCAGATGTAAATATCCGTGAATGACATGAAGCTTCAGTTTATGATGTGAATCCATGAACTTTAATGAGGTGTTGGAGTCTCTGCAGGTGGAATAATAATCTGCAGACTGAAGTCAAACTTTGTGTCTTTGAGTGTTTGAGAGTTTGGACTCCAGCCTTATAACTGCAGATTTACAGACTGTCTGTGTTCTCACTGTTTTATTTTTACTCTAAACTGAGTCTGTGTGACGGTTTGTAAATCTGCAGGTAAACGGCTGGAGTCCAAACTCTCAGACCGTCTCAGTTTTCACGGATGTTTCCTCACAGTTTTGTTCTTTTCTGAGTCTGTGTGAGGCTCTGTTGGAACTTTGTACTGCTGCCACTCTTGGTCAGATCTCAATGGGACAAACCTGCTTCAATAAAAGTTAAATAAAAATAAAACTCACTCACTCACACACACACACACGCACACAGACTTATTTCTGGTTGCTTTTCATAATAAAGACTTAGATTTTCGAGGACATGTGCGATCTTGGCGATCATTAGTTAATCACTGTTTAGAAAAAACACGGCGCTTCAGGTTTTATAGAGTTTATTAGAAAGATTCAGTCCACAGTAGTTCAGATTTTGGCACCAACAATATAAAAACAAGTAAATCATGAAATAAAGTGTACACCTGAAAAAGCATTGAACAAAAATGCACAAAAGGACAAAAACTGCAACCGTTTATGTGAATAAAACACATTCCTCAGAAACAATGATGATTTTTTTATTTGTATTTAATCAACAGCTTTACTTCTATTTTCCCTTCTGTCTTTATAGGAGCTAAAGCACGTCGTTCTTCTCAATACCACAGAAGCACATCTGTGAGGTGACTTCAGGTCATTTTTTCCAGCTTCTCACAAACGGCTTTTAAACCTTCTACGGAGGTTCGAGGAAACAAATCTTAGTCCCCCACTGCTCTCTCTGAAAATCCAGCTCACAGGGAAACACAGAAGAGACAGTGAACTTACAGCTGTACTGTTGATCATCCATCTGATTCCATAAAAACATACTTTAGAACAGTGGAAACACTTATTGGCTTAAAAATACCTTCGCGATAAATCAACACAGTCCTGATTTGAAATGTAAACAGATCTAAAAAACGCATGTATACGTAATACTTAGTGTATAAGTCACAGTTAAAGTCAGTGATGGGGGACACGTACAAATGCTTATCACAGAAAAGGAAACACTTTGTTCGTTACTGGAAAATAAACTGTGGAGGAATGATTGAATTCATCTGAAGTCCCACCATGACAGAAACAAACAGAAATACTGGCAGGTGAGAAAGCAGCAGGATTTACGCCCCGACAGGTTAATGTCACACATAAACTGGAAGAAGAACGGTTTCTAAATAAGAGTGGATCACAGCTAAATAAGAAGCAGGGCTGATATTTGATAAGGCACAGTGGCTGGTGTACAGACCAGTGTGGAGATTTGCTCACCATCTACAGGTGACGTTGCGTATTGCAGTTTCCTCGTAGTAACTCCACTAACATCCCCCTTTAAAGCATGTCGAAGAAATAGTGTGGTCATCAGCTCACAGACGCCCATGAATCTCACACACTGGTCAGAAGGCACTAAAATTACTTGTGAGGGTTCAACCTCTAAGGCACGAGTTCGATTGGGATGGAAAACAGATGGAAACGTCTGTTTTAATGAAAACAGGAGTTTCCTTCTCAAGCGGCTGCTTCACTTTCATACTTCTTCTTTACTTCGAGGGGATCTGGGCATCTGCGAGCAGCTCCGGCCTCAAACATTCGATGGGACACTGAATACTCTGAGAAACACACAGAGGAGAGATGTTGTGATTTATTCGTGCTGACTGGATTAAAACTACGACTCTTTTAAAAACACGAGAAACTGTTGATCGAATTCTTGATTTTCAGTGTGGGTGACCATCAGGCTGTAGTAGTCATTAAAACATGATGATACTTCATCCACTTTATTTATGGTCTCTCATAAGATGTGAAAAAGCATTTTTCAATCCTGGAGATGATTGACACAAAGAGCCATCTGGTTCATGTCTGAAGTTACAGAGGAAACGTGTCCATATCTGTGATATAAAACTGTCTTTTTTTACGTGGTTTTATAGTGAAGGTTGATTTGAAATACTGACCAGTTTGCGCCGAGCGTTTTCTCTGTACTGGTCGTAGACATCAGGGTTGACTGGTTGAAGGAGGTCAGCGTCCACATCAGTCTGCACTCCAGGCCTTCTGCAGTTCTCACATCGCCAGCCCTGCAGGGAGGGAGGAGGAGGTTAATGTACTTAAAAACAACAGATGAAGAGAAAGACACGAGGACTTTTAACATTTAAAATAACCGATAAAGACAGAAACACACACTCTCATGCTCACACTAACCTGTTGTCCTCCATAGCAGGTGCAGGTACAAATCGCACCCAGGTATTCCTTCTGCCACTGGTTCCCGACCTGATACATTTTCCCATCGTCATAACATGTCGACTCATCTGAAGAGAGAATAATAAAAGAAAATAACCAATGGTTAGATTTTGCATGGATAAAAACAGTTAATGCAATTATTCAAAAGAACAAAAATCAAATTAAAACCAGAAAATTCTCGCTGGGAAATTCTGAGAGGTCTTCAGCCGGGGTGTGAACAATCTGATGAGATTCCTGAGTAGCATTGTGATATTATATACATGGAGCACACTTACAAAAAACAACACTCCTTATTCAAGTATTTAAGATAAGATGACAAAAGAACTTGATGTATCCCGAGGGAAATTTTGATTTACCACAAAAACAACGTCTTCAGAGCAGGAGACATTAAAACTCCACTAACTGCTCCTCTTTGGGTTTTTTTGGCGTGTCCCGTTGACTTAGGTGCAAACTTCAGATTCCCATTAATTCTGATCCTGGCTGTAGGTTTATTATTTACAGACTGTTCAATCTTGACAAACACTTTGTAAAACCAAATCACTCCAGCACCGTAGAAAGGAAATCCCACCTGACAGAATCAAATGCGTTTTCTGCATCCAATCCTAATATTTTAGCTTCTATTTGTTTTATGATCATGTTTTGTTTAGTATATAAAGTACGTCAGATGTCCTGCGTCTGTCTGTCAAACTTGTTTCTAAGCGTCTAGTTAAGACAGCTGTGGATAATCTTTCGTCCTAGTTAAGGACACTAACTAACTAACTAACTAAAGTTTTTCATGACTTCTGTCACACAAAATTCATCTTCAATAGAGAACAGACCACATCCATCCTGATCGAACTGCATGTTTTGTTTTAGTAACTGAAATAGAAAAAGACTGAATCCACAGGATAACAATAACGCCTTCATACATTTACTCTGTGGCCCGAATTATTTGGTAAAACCCATTTAAGAGAGAATATATTCCCGACCACACTGCTGTACATATGGTGGCTGCACATTTTCTGTGACGGACAATAAAGATCTACTCATCTGATACACATCTACACCAAGTCTGATTAAATTCAGTTACAATCATCACGCTGCTGGAAGCCTGAAGTCTCAACAGTCGATACTCACGTGGTTCACATTTGAACTCTCCTTTGCCATTTCCCAGGCAGGTGCAGCTCATCATGTGACCATTCTCAGCCTGGCGATCCCACTTCTCACCAATCCGGTAGTTATTACCGTTGTCATGACACCACTCTGGAGGAAGAAGGAGGAATGGAGAAAGCAGAGGAAAAAGCAAAGATAGGAAGAAGTAAGAGAAGGAATCAAGAGGAGCATGAAAGAAGAGAAAGACAGACGTTCACAGGTCAAACAGGTTTCCATCTTCTTTACCAAAGTGCCAACATCTGAAAAAACATGATTATATATTATAAGGTTAATGCCAAATTAACTGTGTCCATGTGGAGACAAACACATCAACACAGGGTGGAAATGGAGACATGGGTGGTGGTCTTAGTTTCTGGTATTGTCCTGTTATCTTGATGGACGATACAGAGAACTGAGAATCATGTTGGTCTGTTAGTTTAGCTCTCAGCTGTTAGAGGCTGAAGTGAAGCACCAACATGGGCAGACGACAGAAACACTCAAACATGATAATAAATCTGGACTGAAAGGATCTGGTTCTCGTTAGCCCCTCGATGAAGCGTCTGCCTGCCCATGCTTGTGTTTGATTACAGCGTTTTGTTGCACATAGAACACAGACGTTAGGATTCTATGGCTTTACTCACTGGATGAATCACATCTAAAATGACCGCTGCCCAGGCCCAGGCAGCGGCACCACAGCTTGAATCCAGTCTCAGACATACGCTCCCACTCTGAGCCCACCTCATGGTAAGTGTGTGTAAATGTGTCATAACACACATCCTGGTGGGCTGTGATGGGGACGTCACCTGGAACTAAGGCACAGGACAAACATGTTAAAGAGAGCACGAGTGTTTTTGTTTCATGATCAGAGAATAAAACTTTAAATCTGTTATCAAAGTTAAAATCCGTCTAAATCATCGAATGTTTGAGTTGATATCTGATGCAGAAGTTAGTAAGTATTTCAGTACCAGCATTGCCAACTGTTACAACTTCCTCCAAAACCTTCTCTTTAGCCCCGCCCCTCATGGCCTCCACTACGACATTATAGGACGCTCCCGACGTCAGGCCAATAAGTGTGGCGCTGCTGGAGGTGCCAGGAAGACGCATCTACAAAGAGAAAAACGAAGTTCACTGAGGGTCCGTCTCTTAGTCAGCACCAACGGTGTGACTGTGTGTTTGTGTACCTGGAAGCCCCCCTCCTCTGTGTGTGACACAGGGTTACAGGACACCTCGTACTCTGAGGTTTGAGGGATAGGTTGCCAAGAGATGGTTGTGATGGTCTGTGCTTCTTGGGGTAAGTCAGTTTTGTTGTCAGGGAAACCAAACGCAAGACCTGGTAGAGGACCGTCACTCACCTGGAGCATCAAACATGTAATAAAGAGTAAATCAATACAAATTCATCAATATTCACATCTGACTGGAATATTAAACTTCTTTATCAGCTGATCAAAGTCAACATTTCTGATCTCAGCCATCAGAGTGACGCACACCTTCACCAAGGGGACTCTGTTTCCATCAGGACCTGCTACAGGGATATAAATCAGGGGTTCTCTGAGAGTTGGTCTCTGGCCTTCCTTTGGTCCACTGTAGGGACCATGAAGTCCATCATTTGGGCCCAGGCTCTGGTACTCTGTATAGATGTGCTGGCCCTGCTGGCCTGGTTGATTCTGACCACTTGTGCCAGCCAAGCGAACATGGTTCGAGTCGAAACTGGACAGAGGAGAGAGAGAGAGAGAGAGAGAGCGATGAAAACAAATATTGACGACACACCAAAACACAGAAATGGAGTGGAGCTTGGTGCGGCTCCTACATCTGATCATCGAAGGACTCGGGGACATCCAGGATGTCAGTGGTGGGTCTGTGAGGAACAGGAAGCTCCGGCAGCTTTGGCACCAGTACTTCTGTTGTTGGCTCTGAAAACAGACACATGTATGTTAGAAACAAACCATATAACCAGTTATAATAGGATAACTGCGTTTTTTACTCCAGACCTCAAACAACATAAATCTGTGAGACTAAAGTGAGACGGTGATACAGAAAATAAAACTTTAAATATTTAGATCTTTTACAGCTGCTTCTGATAAAAAGTCCAACTTCAGTTTTCTGCAATGTAGTTGTTACTCTTGAAGATGTATTTAAGATATTTAAAATTAGATTATTGATCCAGATAAAAGTGTTTTTACATATCAAAATAAATTAAAGATGAAATGATCTCATAGAAACAGCACATAAACAGCACCTGTCCATATCAGCATGTCAGATATTTGTTCGACTCTCATTCGCTTCAATCTTTTGATTAATCTGAGTTTATGTTGAAGTTAAGCAGAGGTTACAGCAGCCAGCAGGGGGCGACCTAAACCACGCAGACCTTCTTGATTCCTGCTGTTTCAGTGTTTTGTAAAACTTCAATTATTCTCTTATTACAGCAGTTAAAGACACTTTTTTCCATAGTGTACTTGAAGACTGTCAGATTTTATAAAAAACATGAAGAGAAAGGTCCAAACAGGGCCTGAAAGGATCTTTGACACGTTTTTCATGGTTCACCCAAATAAAAAGTCATCTTGTGTTACTCTTACATGTAGACTTTACACCATCAGGATTTACGATTACCAATTATTATAGCTGCCAATACTCCTGCATTGATCGGCTTCACACGCTCTCACGCCACGCTCCAGATCCCTCACCCCTCACCGTCTCCGTCTTCAGCAAAAACAAAAAATCTATTCTGTTATCTACATGTTGAGCCGCGGCTAAGAGCATAGTGGGGCGCGCACCTCTGAGGAAGTGCGGTTTGGGGGGGGGGGCATCATGAACAGTGAGTGAATGACTGTAAACAAAAGATACACAGAAAAACCGAGGAAGCGTCACGGGGAAGGAGAGCAAATGTCGGTTTACTCACGTGTTCTCGCTTTTCCAACAAGTGGAGCGCTTCGTAAGGAATTCTGCAGAGCGACAATCTTGATAACGTACTCAGTTCCAGGTTTCAGACCTGTAACCGAGAACACCACAACATCTGAAATCTGAAGCATGTTTTATTTGTTATTATTACTATGTTCCCAGAGTCTGTCTCATTGTCTACACTGACCGGTGATGATGGCGTAGCTCTGGCCTGCATGCGGTCTAGGAGTGAGTTCATGAGGCAGACTTCCAGCCTCTTCGTAGGTGACATAATACCCAGTGACCCCCGGACTGCGTGAAGGCTCCCAGGTGAAAGAGATGCTGCTTGGGTTGAGGGAGGTGAAGCGGATATTTGTGGGGGGAATGACCACGGGTTTGGCTGGAGGAGACAGAGATGCAGAGTAAACTGTTGGAATTGTCGAACCTAAAAGTAAAGTTTTGGACGACGAAACACCTGCAGCTTCTCAACACCTTGGTTTGTGTGTTTAGAATTCAGTTGGTTCATCCACTTACACTATAAACTGTATTTCTGGTGATCAATTCAAAAATGACTTCAGATGGACACTGTAGGAGGTCATAATAATGTAATAATAATGTAATAATAATGACCTGTAGTGGCGGTGAGCGTGAAAGGTGCGCTGCGTCCGTTGCCCTTCAGCGTGTAGACGGTGATCTCATATTTGGTGCCGGGCTCCAGACCTGAATTAGAGACGGTCGTTAGCAGAAATCTGTGTGAGTGTCGCTGAAACTCTGATGATTCATCTGTGACGTCTTCGTACCTGTGATGGCGTATGAGCGTGAGTCAGGGCCAATGGTCTTTTGAACAGGGGCGCCCCCTGGAGGTGAAGAAGTGGGCGTGACCTCAATCAGGAAACCAGAGATGATTTCTGTCTTGGAGCGCCAGGTCAGGGTGATGGAGGAGTCATTTACATCTGAGATACGAACACGGCGAGGAGGACTGATGTCTGTGAGGAGAAATTAAAAAATCAGAAATTTTAATTAAATTTATTTTGAAGAAAAGGAAAAAAAACAAGAGCGGCTTTTTCAGAGACTCACTCTCCAGAGTGGTGACCTCTCCTTGGACCGGTCTGCTGGTCAGAGAGTTCTTTAAGGCGTAGACGTGGACTTCATAGCTGGTTGCAACCTTTAGGAGACAAAAGATCGAGGACCATGGCTTTTTTCAAAGGGGACAGAGTTCTGCATTTTCAAGAGGACTACAGTCCATTTGTTTGATTTGGATCACGGTCCACCCAGAGGAGTTACGGGGACTGAACAGTCCCTAAAACTCCTCCTCTACCTTTTACAGAGACACTCTCTCTGACTTACCATCAGTCCTGAGATGTGTGCTTGTGTGGTGTCGGGGGCGAGGTTGATCTCCTTAGTAGGACCACTCTTGTTCTTTGGGTTCACCACCACACGGTATCCAGTGAGGCCATTCAGCCCAGTCAGACGGTTTTCCTGACCTGGTACAGACCAGCTCATGGTGAAAAATGTGGGACCAACCTGGGAGAACTGAAGGTTGGTGGGACGTGAGATCGCTGGAGGGTGGAGGAAATTAAAAGAGGGAAAAAAAGGAGTCAGTTTTGGACAAATAAAGGATCTTACACCAAAAACAATTTTCAGCCTTTGAATCTTTTAAGTGATTCCCAGATCTCCTCTCATACCTGTGGCTTGTGTCCCAACAAGTGGTTGACTAGCTGTCCCATCATGCAGTGCGATGACCTTCACAGTGTATTCAGTGCCAGGCTGCAGACCATAGATAACGGCGGACTCAACATCCCCTCGAGGGGCGGGCTGCAGCTCTCTCTCACCCTCCTCAGGACTGTAATACAAGACCCTGTAAGACGTCACGATTCCCTCAGGACTGTCCCAGGTGATTCTCAAGGAGGTGGAGTCGATGTCTGAGAAGGTCAGGTCCTTTGGATGGTCTACATCTAAGAGACGAGAAGAGCGGAGAGAAAGGCCACAAAGTTGATGAAGTGAGAGGAGAGATTCAGTGTTTTCTAACTTTCAGAAAATGTTCTTACTCGTTAAAGCGTTCACAACCATCGGAGAACTCTCTCCATCCTGTCCGAGCGCGTACACGCTCAGAACGTATTCTACTGTGGGCATCAGACCGGAGAACGTCATCTCTGTCTGATCTGAACAGGAGAAAGAAAATCAGGAGGAGTCAGCGATCGAGAGCAGAAAACTGATTATTGATCAACAATCATTAAAGTCTGACTGTACCTGGAGCTACCACCTCAGTGAAGGCCGGACCCTGACCGTTCTTTGGGACCCCCGTCACCCTGTACCCCTTGATCGGACCCTGGGCAGGGCTCCACCTCACTGTGACACTGTTATCATTCACCTCCATCACCTCCATGTCTGAGGGCGAGTCGACGCCTTTTAGAGGAGGATAAAGAGGTTAAAGTTGGGAGTGAACGTGGAGCGGACCATCACAGGAGGAGAAGAAGAGTGTGTGTGTGTGTGTGTGTGTGTGTGTGTGTGTGTGTGTGTGTGTGTGTGTGTGTGCAGACGTGACGTGTGTGTACCTGTCCTGTGTGTGACATAGATGGGGATGCTTGATGCAGGACTGTCTCCTCTGCCGGTTACAGCGTAGATGGTGATGGTGTAGTCGGTACCAGGCTTCAGGCTGTTAATCGTCACCGTGGATTGGGTTCCAGGCACGGTGAACTCTTTGGGATTAGTTTGACCTCCTGGAGAAAGATGTGAAGATGTTAAGATGTTAAGACCTCAGTACCTGAGTGATCTATAAACTTATGAAAGCAGCTGTAAAAAAGACTCTGACAGAGAATGAAGAAGAGTTTAAAATAAACACCTTTTTCTTTTACTGTTTAAAAACTAAAATAAAACAAAAAGAGGTTCACCAGTCTCTCCATGAGTGATCCTGTAGTAGCGAACAGTGACAGGTGGAGCGTCCCAGCGAACCGTGATGCTGGTTGGGGTGGAGTCGAGCACTTCCAGGTCAGAGGGAGCATCAGAGACTGGAGAGAAAACCCAGAGACAAACGGTCGATAAACAACATGTTAGAAAAGGTGACGATGACGATGATGATGACGATGACGATGACGATGATGATGACGATGATGACGATGATGAAGGGTTATCTTAATGAAACACAAAACTAAACCAGTGTTTCTTACTTGTCTTCTGAGTTCCGCTCAGGGGCAGACTCTCCTCGCTCCTGCTCACGGCGTAGATGTTGACCAAATACTCGGTGTCTGGGGTTAGTCCTGTGAGGGTGAAATGGTTCCTGGAGGGGGGAAGCCTTTCGTCTTTGGTCCTGCCACCACTGACCATCTGATATCGGATACGGTAACCAGTGATTTTGCTCTGCGGGGCGAGCCAGTTGATGGTGAAGGAGTTGGTGAAGACCTCGGAGAAGCGCAGGGCAACAGGTGAGTCCAGAGCTGAGGAAGAGTACAGAAACGAGTGTCTCAGGTCCAGAAATAAAATCATTTATCATGGGAAAATATAAAAGTATAAATTTACATGAATACCAGAATAATAATCAGACCTTATCTCTCTTTGAAAATGACTCACCTGTTTTCTGGGTGCCAACCAGAGGTGAGCTCTCCCTCTGCTCATAAACACACACCACACTCACCAGGTACTCGGTGTTGGGCAGCAGATCTGAGGAGACATGGAGAAAAAGAGTTTAATACAAATGAAGCTCCTGTAGGACACCCTCTGAGTCCTCTGAGTCCTCTGAGACCGGACTTACTCCTGAGAACCACACGGTCACTCGTGCCCCCTGTACTTGTTTCTGTCAGGTCATCTTCATCATCGATGGGATGATACCTGAATGATGAGAGAATCAACAAGAATCAGCCTTTTCTCCTTTAATACAAGTTTAATAACATTTCTAAAGAATTACTGAATCTGTTTGTGTTTTTACCTGATGAGGAAACTGTTGATATTAGCAGAGTTAGGGACCTGCGGAGACACCCATGTGACCTCCAAACTGTCCGGTCCAACCTGGCCGAAGACCAAATCTGTTGGTGCTGGAACAGCTGCAGAAAATAAAGAAAATAAAGAAAAGAAAGAAAATTAAGAAAAGAAAGAAAAGAAAGAGAATAAAGTCCTCAGAACAGTCTGAACTGGACGACAAAGGTCAGCTGCCAAATGGGTTAAAAAACATATTTACATCATCATCCTCAGAGGGAGACCTGAGTGTTGAGACTATATATATGTTATATATGTTAAATATGAGACTATATATATGTTATATATGTTAAATATGAGACTATATATATGTTATATATGTTAAATATGAGACTATATATATGTTATATATGTTAAATATGTGACGGTGTGAATAGGTGTGGAACGTTAAATTACATCTTTAAGGAGAAAAGAACAACGAGGAGGCAAAATGAGTCTGAACGTGACAAAACCTCTTCAATAAAGCCATGTGGTTCTCACTCACACACACACACACACACACACACACACACACGTGCACGCACACACAGATTCACACAAAGAGAAAAATGAAGTTGACAACCCCTCAGACAGGAAACCTCATCTGTGATTGAAGCTCAGCTCACAAAGTAAAAATAAAAAGTTTAGAAAAAGGTTTTCGGTCGTTGAAGTTTCACTCCTGCCGTTTAAAAAACACTTCAGTCCAAAATCTCAACATTCAGGGAGATTAAAAACTTTAAAAAAGATTAAAAACTTTGTGTTTTCCAGACGACTATAAAAGGACTTTGGTTATTCGCTATTTTAAATACTGTCAGAAATATCATCAGCAGATGTCCAGAATGACTGATGGGATTAAATGGTTTCTAAAACTCCAGCTGATGAATTATTGAGTGTTTTTTAGCTGAGAGCAGTAAAATGTGACCTTCTTTGGAATAATGTGGATCTTACAGGTCTGCTGAATGAGCGTGGTCGGCTCGCTCTCGCCGTTCTCCGTCACAGTCGTCACACTGAACTCGTAGTCGATTCCAGGCTCCAGTCCGTACACAGTGTAGTGGTCAGTGGTCGGTAGAACCATGTCCTCAAAGATGGGCACACTCTCCCCCGCTGCCACCACCGTGATTTTATAACCCGTGATGGCCGTGGTGTTCAGAGGAGACCAGTGGAGACTGATGGTGGTATCACTGACATCCTGGAAGCTGAGGTCTGTCAGCTGTGGAACATCTGGGGCGGGGGAGAGAAGATTGGAAAGACAGGGAGACAAACAAACAAACAAACAAACAAACAGACAAACAAACAAACAAACAAACAAACAAACAGACAAACAAACAGACAAACAAACAAACAAACAAACAAACAAACACACAAACAAACAAACAAACACACAAACAAACAAACAAACAAACACACAAACAAACAAACACACAAACAAACAAACAAACACACAAACAAACACACAAAACAAACAAACAAACAAACAAACAAACACACAAACAAACAAACACACAAACAAACAAACAAACAAACACACAAACAAACACACACACAAACAAACAAACAAACACACAAACAAACAAACAAACAAACACACAAACAAACAAACACACAAACAAACAAACAAACAAACACACAAACAAACAAACAAACACACAAACAAACACACAAACAAACAAACAAACAAACACACAAACAAACAAACAAACACACAAACAAACACACAAACAAACACACAAACAAACACACAAACAAACAAACAAACAAACACACAAACAAACAAACAAACAAACACACAAACAAACAAACAAACACACAAACAAACACACAAACAAACAAACAAACAAACAAACAAACAAACACACAAACAAACAAACACACAAACAAACAAACAAACAAACACACAAACAAACACACACACAAACAAACAAACAAACACACAAACAAACAAACAAAGGCAAAACAAGAAGAAAGGAGTGTTGGAAAGAGAGAGAAGCGCAGTTAAGAGAGAGAGAGGTTAGCTTCCAGTCAGGGGAGAGAGTCTAACATCCCACCTATGGAAGCGATTATGCGTTTCTTAGTAAATATTATGATCCAACGAGGGTCAAAGGTTCTGAAATGTCACATGTTCGATCATTGACATTTTAACATCATTGTTGTGCTGCTTTATCATAGCTGGTGTTTCTATGTCACAGCAGTGATGCTAACCGGCGTTAGTGTCGATTAAATGTTAAAAGATTTTGTGTTATTTTAGACGTTACTTTGACTATATGAGCTGAAATGATAATAAATTAAATGAGTAACAGTGACTTGACTTCTCATTCACCTGGAGTAACGACAGTAGAAACAGGAGAGCTCTCCATGTCATCCTTCACAGTGAAAACACTGATGTTGTACTCCACTCCTGGACTGAGGTTCTCCAGGGTGCAGGAGTTCTTTCCTGCCTCCACAAACTCCTCCACACTGTTTCCTTGCTGTCCGTTGGTGGGTGTGCACGTCACTCTGTATCCAGTGATGTCTGACGGAGAGAAAGGAGCAACAGTTTTACTCGTCTCTGAAGCTCTAACTGCCTCACAAAAGTCCAGAGGTCAAACCGATGAGGAGGAACAGGACGACTAACTAACGGAGAAACTGCTCCTACAGTGTCCAGCTCTTTGTAAGTGACCCAGAATTTGATTGACGGTGATGAAAAGAGATCTTAAATAAACTGGATTCTTTATTGTTGATGTTTGTCCAAAAAAACATATGTTCTTGTTTTTTCTCGCCTAGATCTTTGCTTGTGTTGTTGTGTCAGAGAAACTAAGATTGAAAACATGTTTCGTTGTCATTTGTCTGAAACTTTAAGTGTTGAACACAGAGTCAGTCTCACTGAAACATGGTTCCAATCGTAGTTTCACTGAACTGTTTCTTTTACATCATGTCTCTGAAGGTTCTTCTCATCCGTCCAGGTCATGGTCTGTTTTACGTTTGTGTGTACCTGGAGTACTGGCTCCATTCCACTGGACTGTGAGATCTCCAGATCCAGGATTAGACTCCAGCTTCAGATCAGTAGGAGGAGACAAGGCTGGAAACAAAGGAAACGAGGAAAGTTAGAAGAGCAGGAGAAACGAGGGACCAAACAAAAGAAGACCCGGGGCCTCATTTATCGTAGAAAAGGTCCTAAATTCTGTCGTAGTTAAAAAATAATAAGAACAAAAACATCTTTTTTTCTCAAACATGCGAACACGGTCGTACGAACACACGTCAGAAATCGGTGATGATAAATCCCACCTGCTCGTTCATGGTTAGGGTCATTTACATTCAGACACGCCTCCAACTGACCATATATGGTATCAACAATCCCTTTAAAAATGCCTGAATGGATTTTTTCCTCCTCGCTGAAATCATGGAGGCGCACACTCACAGTCGAGCGTTTAACAGATCCAGAGGGAAGTTTGAGATTGTTGAACACTGGGACTCCTTTAATGGGTTCTAGTTGTAGTTTCACTGTTCTACCACTAGGGTTTGTGTCTAAGCATGCTCAGAGTTGGGCTTAAATGTACACACGTTCCTAAGAACAAGTCCAGGTTGATAAATTCCAGACTCTGCGCATGAATGTTCGTACACACGTCTGATAAATGAGGCCCCGAGATTTCTGCGTTTACTCTTACATGTGACGATCCGGCGTGTGATTGGTGTTCCTTCCTCATGGCCGTTTATGACTGGCTGGACGCTGTAGGTGTACTCCACTCCAGGGGTCAGACCAGAAATGTAAATACTTCCTGACTCTGAGGTCACGTCTCTGGGGGCCTCGCCTCCTTGACTGGGCCGTACGGTCAGCTGAAAGACAATCAGAGTCAGAGACACAGCGCTGAACATGGAGGCCGGCAAACATTCACATCTCTGACGTGGAAAATTCTGACCAATCAGAATTCTCCAGGAAGTCTGTGGCTGTTAACTCTGCTTTTACAGTGTAGAATAGAAATAATACGTCATAAAGACAGGGAGTGATGCATGAACATCGGGGAAGTATTAAAGACCTTGTATCCGACGCTGGTGACTGGAGTCCAGGAGACGATGATGGAGGTGTCGGTTACATCAGTGCTGAAAGGAGGAGCGCCGCCTGTTGGCGACTCTGTAGACAGGAAACAGGAAGAGTGTCAAATATAAGTTAATCTGGTCAAAACGGTCAGACCGGATTTTTGAGGAGAGTCGTCAACAACAGTCATCATATTTTTGGGACTTTTTTCAGAGACTTTCTGCTGCGGTTTCTTAAAACAGTGAGACACTTTTTAATCACCGGTTCCATAATTTTAATATATAATCTCAGATTATTTGGGACCAGCCCCTTTATCTAATCTCAGATTATTTGCCCCTTAAACAGGCAGACAGCGACCACACCGCTGCTCAGACAGACACTCACTCGTGCTGAACTCTGCAGACTCTCCTGCGCTCAGCGTGTTTCCCTGCTCTGCGTGAAGAGTCGCCGTGTACTCGGTGTCAGGTTTCAGGTTGAGGATGGTGTACTGAGTCAGGCGGGAAGGTAGGCGCAGTTGTTCAGGGTTAGAACCTTCAACAGTGAGGAAGAGGCGGTAACCGGTGATTTTGGCGTGCGGGGCGAACCACATCATCACGGCGCTGTCTTTGGTCACATTGGTGAAGTGGATATCTGTGGGGGCGTCAGGCTCTGAAAGGAGAGAAATCATCAGATCTACTGGAACAAAGACTCATTTTTAATGTGATTTTCATGAATGTAGTTTAAATAAGTAGAAACACCGTGAATCAAACTGATGACTGAATAAATCAGACCGTCCAGAACCCCGCTCTGATATTTTTAATCTTTAATGTTCATTGAAACGTCTCAAACTTCATCCTGGAGGGTTGAACTTCTACTCACTGGTCGTCTGCTCTCCGATAAGCGGTGAACTTTCCTCTCCGTTGTTGACGGTGTAGACACTGAAGCGGTACTGCGTTCCTGGCTGTAGGTGCGTCACTTCGATGTAAGAGTTTTGACTGACAGGCAGAATCATCTCCCTCTGCAGAGGTCCATGCTCATCCACGGGGACGACAGTGACGCGGTAACCGGAGACATCAGCAGTTGGACCGGACCAGGTCAAAACAATCTTCTTGTCGGAAACCTCGTAGAACTGAAGATCAGTGGGAGAAACCACTTCTTCTGTGGACAGGAAGAGAAAACAACGCTGCGAGATTAAGTCTGGATTTTTTGAAGGAACTGTGTCGTCATGATGTCTCTGATATACGGACAGTAAAGGAGAGTCACTGTGAGTCACGGCCTGACTGACTCACAGCATCTTTGTGTAACATCGATAATCCTGCGTGTGTCGGGACAAAACTATTTTACCATTAAGAACAAGAAGCATGTTACTAAAATACAGAGTGAGACAGAATTTTAACCGTCCATAATGACTCTCATTCAAACACCGATCACAGTCTGCAGTTTATCCAGGAGTCTGAAAAGATTCTCCAGGATTCTGCAGGATGTTTGTGAAGTTCTTGGACAAACACGATCTTCAGAGTCAGTGGATATTCCTCCAAAAACCAGCACTAAAGGAGGAGGTCTGAGCTGTTATCTTCTAAACAAGTTCATCTCACTGATTCATTTACAGAAAATCTTTAAATGTTTTATCGACTTTTAAAACTTTTATTTAAAACTCTAATAAACTCCTTTAACACAGAAGAATCAGCTCCAGCTGTTCTGGGAGGTCAGTTCAAACAAACGTCACTGAGGGTCAAGAATCGTCATCAATGATAAAATATTAGGTCAACACTCACAACACTCCTAAAGTGTAGACTTGATCTGCTCTACTCAGCATAAATCTGCCCCAGCAGACTAAACTGGGTCTCACACACACACACACACACACACACACACACGCACACACACACTCCTGGCAGGCAGACATGTCTTATGTAACTCGAACAGCAGAAGATCTCAGCAGCTGTGAACTCAGTGACTTTCTATTGGGAAAATAAAATATTGATTCCAGGCGATCGGAAACTCCTTCAGAGCAGCTAAACTGCTAAACCACAAATGAGATTCAGGTTGAATCTGGAAGGTTAAGGATGAGGAGCACAGAAGATCTTTGGTCCTTCAGGAGTCCAGGGACGAAGGTTTGAGGTAAATCTGAATTTCTGCTCGTGTGAATTTAAAGTTCACCGAAGACTGAGACAGTCTCTGTCTTTATCCACGTTCAGATTCACTGAGTTGAAACTTTCTTCAGTCTTTTACCTGGCAGTGGATCTCCAGCGGTGTTCACCTGCACAAAGACAGGCTCACTCTCAAGGCTGTCCTCCACAGCGTAGATGCTGATGTTGTACAACTTGCCGGGTCGGAGGTCACTCAGGGTCACAGATGTTGCTGTGTCAGGAAGAGTCAGCTCTGTGCTCTCGCCCTCGACTGATGGTGTGTAGACAACACGATAGCCTGGACGAAGAAGAAGAAGAAGAAGAAGAAGAAGAAGAAGAAGAAGAAGAAGAAGAAGAAGAAGAAGGAGAAGAAGAAGAAGAAGGAGAAGAAGAAGAAGAAGATGAAGAAGACCTCAGACCGTGTGAAGGAAACAGAGAAATTCATGAAAGTCGACGGCAGACAAGATTGTGAGGAGCTTACCGGTGATAGGAGCCAGAGGTTTATCCCAACTGATTAGGATGGAGGTCTCTCCCACCTCCTCCACCTCATGCTGCACAGGACCATCAGGAGCTGTGGAGCAAATCAGGGAAAAGTGTGAGAATGTAAATTATGAGTATTTGTAGCAGCGAGCACTTCTTCGATCCGGCGACTGCAAAAGGAAAGAGCGACAGAAGAGCAGAGAAAATAAATAAGAGCTTAAAGTCAAAGTAAACGTGTTTCTACTGACCGGTGGTTTGTGAAGTACTGAGAATCAGATTGTCTTCTCCACCGTCTGTAACCTCATAGACGTTGACAGTGTATTTCCTTCCAGGTAGGAGCTCATTAATGTTTACTGAGGTCGTCGTACGGGGAAGATCTGAGAGGA